GATATAAGTGATGATGATGATTTTTGTTAGTATATGTTTAGTTAAAAGTTAAAACAACTAGAACACTGAGAGGTCAGTAAGGGCCCCGTCTTGTGGCAATATATCCCGCATAATCAGAATGAAGCAATCTGTCCATATAGCTGAGCTTGACGTTTGACATTTGGACTTCAAAAAGAATCGCAAGGAAGCAAAATATACATTTTACATGTACTATGATGTGAGTCTTGTTTCCTTCCACCTCCATATTTGCTGGGCTAACAGAAATGTAAATACCGGTGCAATACTCATTTGTTAGCTTTGATTTGTTTTAATTCACCTTTTATACTTCCTCCATCAAGAGCCAGGGTCGAAGTCAGAAATCCACTTTGTCTTTGACCTTTGGACCCAAATGACCTTGACCATTAACCTAGTGACCCTGATCTTTGGTCAGTTGACTTATTCCTTAATTCCGACCAACTTTGCTTCATAATATCATAACGAAATGTTCATCAGTGAAAAATACAAAACTTGACCTTGACCCTTTGGACCCCGTTACCAGGACCTAAGGTCAGTTGACTCTGTGTTAAGTTCTGAACAAGTTTGCTACATAATAACATAAAATGACCTTGACCTTAAGTCAGTTGACTCCTTTTTAAATTCGGTCCAACTTTCCTTCATAATGTCATAACAAAATGTTCATCAGTGAAAAGATACAAAATTTGACCTTGACCTTTGACCCAGTGACCTTGCCTTTTGGTCAAATGACTCCTTGTTTAATTCCCACAAACATTGCTTCAAAGTGTCATAATGAAATGTTCAACAGCAAAAAAGTACTAATTTTTACCTTGACCTTTGACCGAGTGACCTTGACCTTAAGTCAGTTGACTCTTTGTTAAATTCTGACCAACTTTGCTTAATAAAGTCATAACAAAATGTTCATCAGTGAAAAGATACAAAATTTGACCTTGACCTTTGACCCAGTGACCTTGCCCTTTGGTAAAATGACTCCTTGTTTAATTCCCACAAACATTGCTTCAAAGTGTCATAATGAAATGTTCACCAGCAAAAAAATACTAAATTTACCTCGACCTTTGACCGAGTGACCTTGACCTTAAGTCAGTTGACTCTTTGTTAAATTCTGACCAACTTTGCTTAATAAAGTCATAACAAAATGTTCACGGGGAAAAGATACAAAATTTGACCGTGACCTTTGACCCAGTGACCTTGACCTTTGGTCAATTGACTCCTTGTTTAATTCTGACCAACATTGCTGCTTAATGTCATAACAAAATTTAACCTTCACCTTTGACCGGGTGACCTTGACCTTTGGTCAATTGACTCACTGTTTAATTCTGAGCAACATTGCTTCAAAGTGCCATAACAAAATGTTTATCAGTGAAAAGATGCAAAATTTGACCTTGACCTTTGAATCTTAGGCCTTAACCTTTGACCTCAACTTTTTACCTCAGTGTGTCTCTTTGTTTAATTCCGAACAACTTTGCTTCAAAATGTCATAAAATGCTCATCAGTGAAAAGCTACAAAATTTGACCTTGACCCCTGACCAGACGACCTAGACCTTTGGTCAGTTGACCCCTTGTTTAATTCTGAGCAACATTACTTCAAAGTGTCATACAAAAATGTTCACCAGTGAAAAGATACAAAATGTTACCTTGACATTTGGTCAGGTTGACTCCTTGTTAAATTCTGATTAACTTTGCTTCATCATGTCATAACAAAATGTTCATCAGTGAAAAGATGCAAAACTTGACCTTGACCTTTGAACCTAATGACCTTGACTTTGATCTCGACTTTTTACCTAAATGTGTATTTTTGTGAACTGAAAATCTTGACAAAGTTTCATGTACATCGGTCAATAAATACCAAAATTATCAGCTAGGAACAAAATTTGTGGACGGACAGACAGACAGAGGGATTACTATAGGGCACCCGTATCTCCGATACGGGGCCGTTATAACTTACTTACTTATAAGGGGTTTTCTTCTCAATAATAAAATCATAAGTGTTGGTTCCATATTGATAAGAGCAATCGTGGTGACCTTGCAGATTTAGTGTAAGTACAGCATTACGGTAGAATCGGAGAAGTAGAAAAAATAAATATCATCAGATATATAAACACCTTCTTATTGTAACGGCGTCCGTTACAGAGATCCCCCAAACTACCACCGCAGTCGTTAATGAGGCCGATTCAGAAGTCACCCAAATTACCCCTGCAGTCGTTAATGAGGCCGATTCAGAAGTCCCCCAAACTACCCCTGCAGTCGTTAATGAGGCCGATTCAGAAGTCACCCAGACTACCCTCGCTGTCGATATAATGAGGCCGATTCAGAAGTCACCCAAACTACCCCTGCAGTAGTTAATGAGGCCGATTCAGAAGTCCCCAAAATCTACCCCCGCAGTCGTTAATGAGGCCGATTCAGAAGGCACCCAAACTACCCCTGCAGTCGTTAATGAGGCCGATTCAGAAGTCACCCAGACTACCCTCGCTGTCGATATAATGAGGCCGATTCAGAAGTCACCCAAACTACCTCAACAGTCGTAAACAAGGCTAATTTAAGTCACTGTACTGTTGATATAGTGCAGCTTTAATACATACTTAATTTGATCGAAATCGGACGCTATCCAAATTTTGACCAATCAGAGGTCATGGCAGCCATCTTGGGTGTGCGGTGGCCAAACACAGATAGTGTCTTTCACATCTACGCATTTCCACAAATACTCATATGAGATTTCTTTCAAGTTGTTTCCAAGAAAAAAGTAGTTCACCAAACAGAGGCCACGGCAGACCATATTGGATGAGCAACTGAAAAAAACAACACTTTCACATCTAGGCACGCCCACCAATTAACATACTAATGAGAAAATTCTCTTAAAGATTATTTGTAGTTATAAGTTCATAAGCATAATTCAGTCTCCAACCATGTGGGTGACCGTTGATAATTTTGCATAAGACCTTAAATCATATCCAATGTAGGAGTTTCTCATTCATTGTCAATAAAATTAGTGTTTTATCACCTCCACCCCTAACACACAAATGTTCAAACCTTTGTAACTCAATCAGTCATAGAAAGGCCTAATACTGATATTTTTATCTGTCTTTAAAAATGATTTTTAACAGCTTTTCAAAAACTTGTGTAGAACAGCAATGTTCGACACCATTGCTACATTAGGGGCGGATGATCATATAGAATTTTGGATTTTGGAAAAATTGAAAAGTGCCACTGAGGTCAGACCATTTTTAAATCTATGAGCGTGTTTATATATTCATTTTTAGCTCACCATGCCCGAAGGGTCAAGTGAGTTTATGCCATGCCGCAGCGTCTGCCGTCCGTTGTCCGTCAACTTTTTCCTTTAAATTGCTACTTGTCCTGAACGGCTCAGAAGATTTTGACCAAATTTGGTCTGGAGCATCATTGGCCAAAGGGTTCTCAGTTTTGTATAAACGGAGGGTATGGTCCTACTAGGGGCAGAGGGGCGGGGCCAAATAGGGGGAAAATAGGTAAATCTTTAAAAATCTTCTTCTCAACCAATAGAAGGATGTTGACCCAATTTGTCCTAGAGCATCTTTCGACAAAGGAGACTCAAGTTTGAATAAACGGAGGGTGTTGCCCCTCTGGGGGCGGGGCCCAAAAGTGAAAATAGAGGATTTTTTTTCTTCTACTATACAAGTGAAGGGATTTAAACCAAATACAGTCTGAAGCACGCTTAGGGACAAAAGAATCAATTTTGTTTAAACTGAGGCGTGTGGACCCCCTTCTTTGGGGCAGATGAGTGTGGCCCATTAGGGGAAATAGAGGAAAACATTAAAGATCCTTCTCCTTCTGTACCGTTGAAGGGATTTTAACCTAACCAAACTTGTTCTAGAGAATCTTTGGGCAAAGGGAATTGAACATTTATAAATGGCCAGACCAAAACAGATTTATATGTAGTTCTTCTTGCAACTTTGTTTCTTGTACTCCTTTGATAAACCTGAATGGTACTCAGCAGGTTTTAAATTGAAAAATAAAATACCAGGTGAGCTATAAAGGCCCTTGGGCCTCTTGTTTTTAAATACAGTGATGTGTCAAAAGTCTTTCACGTTACGTCATTTTACCATTTAATCCTATATGTTAATTTAATTTTGCAGAGAAAAAAATCCGGCCTGGCTTCGTTTTATAATCAAGCGCTACTCTTGGTTATATTTATATAATTATCCACTTGATAGAATTCTTACCATGATGGGTTACTTGGCAAAAACATATCATACGGCAAAATTTAACATTGTATCTCATAATGGGAATGGTGTAAACTTGTATGCAGGGATGAAAAGTGATATCTCAATAACTGAGTCACAGATAATAATAGAAATTTGACCAGAAGAAACACTGGATAACTCTCAAATAGGATGTCAAGTTTTATCAAAATTAGACTTCAAACAAAGTCACAAAAATTATTGAGGAAAAAAGGTGAATTAACATACAAAATATTTAGTGTGCCTAAATAAATATTATCGAAACGAATATTTTTTTCTTTATATTTTCTAAATTGTTATTTTTAAATTAAGATATATTGATATTAAATACATTAAATTATTTTTAATGCTTACGACTTAATTTTAAATAGTAATCAATCCGCGATTTATATAAAACACTAAAATAATGTACTAAAATCTATTTCACCGTGATTTTTTTTATTACTAACAAAACGGATCTTGGGTGGTTTGAAAAAAATACAACATACCATTTTTGTTTTAAAAATGAATGTCCTATTCTTAACAAGACTTAAAAAAAACCCATGATGATGGTAAATCTACTGAAATATGAAACTAAAATATAATATGACAGTCGAATATAATAGAGTTATCTACCCTTTCATTTCTAACACTTCCGGGAAATTAGCCAATCAAAATCTGTGTTAGTAAGAAGAGGGTATTTTGAAAAATGTCTGAAAGCAAGACGAAGTCACGAGTAAACAAACGCCAAATGAAGTACTTTTTATAGGTAATCAATATACCAATTTCATTATTGCTTGCTTGAAGCCAAAGAAAAATTTAACGATGTATGTTTCAGTTATACAAATAATTCTCAAATGTTTCATCACGTCATGATAATCAGATTGAAAATTATTTTGACAACTATATCATAAGATTGGCCAGCATGCACGAATTGATTATCAACAGCTTGCTTCATGAAGTAATCAGAGATTGAGGGCTACAAGTAGGTATCTTAATTGCATGTTAATTGACTGAATCAATCCATGTATCTCAAAAGTATGTTTTAATGGTACGTGTGGCAAAGTACACCCGGACCCAATCTTGCCAATTCGGCCTTATTTGCAACACAGCTAGGAGGCTGAAATTCTATCAGTGATTGCTGACAGTTGGTATATAGCTCAAACACATACAATACTACCGCGTACCTTTGAATATATTTGTAAACATCTGAGTTTCATACCATCATGAATGTAAATAATATGTGAGAAGAAAAATTATACAGTTTTCAACTTGTTATGCTAACCAAGCTTTGAATGACAACACGACCGTGACGTAAATAGATTAGAGGTATCTGCCAAATCATTTCTGTTGTTAATTCCTTGATGTCATGCTTGGATAAACAGCTAGTGCATATCAATTGGGTATAGAGTTATAAATTAACATGCTTTTTTTGTAATTTGAAAATGCTTTGATTCATTTTCTTTGTACCACGTAAATTATTCCTTATAATAAAACTTTTACCATCTGACACCAGAAAAATTAACATGATTTTACTATCAATCGACATTCCTATCCTTGTTATAGACACATGCACAACTAATAGAGAATGTTAATGTTCAGCGCATAGAGCAACCAGTTGACTTAGTCCAGAATTGAAAGAAATTTCGTACAGAGAGTGTCTGAAAGTAGTTCAATAATTAACAATATATTTGATGAAAGAGTCACTTCCAATCTATTAGCCTTTGATATTCAAATGGAACAACACAATCTCACAAAGACAATTGTTACAAAAACCGATGCAACATGGATTAAGGAGAAACTTGTTCACATTTAGAGTAAATGTGTGGAACAATCTACCTATAAGCCTATATGTTGTTAATGTTCAAACAACTAATATTAAGGAGTTTGATACATGAAACAAAAAAAGACTATGTTTACATTTTTTAATGCTGTTATCACAAACAAAATATAATTATAATACATTGTACAGATAATTGGTATGAACTAAAATTACAGAGCTGTGACATTATCAGCAGTGGAATTCATCACTTAAATTCAAGTTATTATCAATATTATCAACCAACTTTTATTGATATAATAGAGCTGACAGCAGGAAATGTAAACGGTCCTATAGTCAGAATAAAAAAAATCTGTTTATTTGTTAAAAACTTGTTGAGACGGACCACGTTGCTTTAAGCCTTTGTCCATTATTATAATTCAATTAAGTTGTTACTGCAAATGGTGAAAAACTTTTATCTAATACATGTTGTATGATACATAAAAGCAGTTTCAGTTACAATGTTTCATGCACTTTCTCCCTCAATGGAATGAGGTAGATCTCAATCCCTCATTGGAGGTTTCAGAGGTTGACACCTATATATACTTTTTAGCATAGCTGTAAAATTTGAACCATACTAACTTATAATTAAGAGTGTAATTCTAACATTCAAGAAATGAAATGATTATTTGATCATCGAATAGACATTTAATGTAATTTTTCGTCATTTAATTTTCTGTATTTCAGATTAAAGTTGATGAAATGAAACGGACTGTTTTATGACCTTTTTTGAGAGTGAATTTGTTAATATTAACAACACCATGACGCTTGGACAGAGGAAACGTATACCCAGCTATGCTGAAGTGGCAGCCACACCAACACGCAAACCTGCAGATTCAACGGAGTCCTCTGGGGTTGGCAATAAGGTCAAGGTCGTGGTAAGGATCCGACCAGGGAACTCGATGGAGCAGGGAAGTAATTCACGTATAGTGGTCAAGGCCATGAACGAAAATGTATTGGTATTTGACCCTAAAGAGCAATCCTCGCCAGAATATGGCTACCGAAACCGACGTCGTCGGAGAGACCTCCGTAAAAGGCAGGCTAAGGATTTAAAATTTGCCTTTGACTTTGTGTTTGACCAGAATTCAGCAAATCACAATGTGTATGAACAATCTACCAAACAAATTCTTGATGGGCTGCTGGAAGGTTATAATTGTTCAGGTTAGTATATTTGTTATACAGGAATGATAAACTGTCACTAGAAGAAATGAAAAAAAATGTATGAACTAGGACAGGAATGAAAAATTTGTAATGGGAAGCTGAAGGTGTTCAAAATGGGTAAGTCCCGAAACTGATGGCCCTGTGAGCTTCATCTTGATCAATCAATGAAGTAAATCTGAAACATGGGTTTGATTCAAATACCTCTGTTATGATGTAAAATATATTTATCAAAATTAGGAAACCTTTGCGATCATTGGATCCTTAGAATATTAAAATAATTTTGAAATCTTTAATAAGCTTGGCAAAATTAAGATTACAGATTTTTTTGTACTGGAGTTTGTTTAGGCTCTTGTAATTTAAAGTAATCTTAGGTTTGATAGGTAGATTACCAAGAGAAATGTTGACTTGTTTCATCTTTAACATTGTTGTTTTTGTAACAGTATTTGCCTATGGAGCCACAGGGGCAGGTAAAACACACACAATGTTGGGAAACCCACGACAGCCTGGCGTCATATACCTAACAATGATGGACTTATACACACGGATAGCGGCCATTCAGCACGAGAAAATCTGTGATGTTGCTGTTTCCTACCTTGAGGTATAATGATTATAAGTCATCATGGGTTTAAATGATAACCAAAGGTTATTGACATAATAAATTTCATTGTAATTCCAAGTTATTTTCAATGGGGGAATTTTCAATTTTCTTTAGTACGGAATGCTATGAGGTGAAAAAAGGGGGAAAAGAGTAATATCCTTAACCTTTGAATATAACAATCCATATTATATAAGTCATCAGAATTTAGTAACTTGGGTCATCATTAAAAAATTGTTTGTTAGCATTTTCCCAGATCGACTTACTTATCGAAATAGCAACTAACTCAAACTTATTTTTGGAAATTTTGGTAAAAAACACTAATGATTTTTATATGGAAATATGAGATTTCTAAAATAAAAAATATCACTGCCAACTGAAAAAAAAATGTGAGTAGGGAAATGGCAAACATTTTTTTTTAAGGAAGGCCTCAGTACACTGTATGATAAACATATTTTCAGCTATTGTAGCTGAAGACTTTTTATTATTTAAAGCTTGAGTATTGTTCAAGACCATGAGACTGAACTGTTACTTGACTTTTATAAGGCCAAACAAATATGTATGTTCAAGGTACCCCGACAGATCCTAGGTTTTACCTCCGAACCTAACAATTTTATCTCATTTTTAAAATGCAATTAAATGTCCCATTTAAACATGCAGAAATATGTAAGCATCTTTATGACACTTCTCGATATTTCATAGGCAGGTGTCAACACCAAATTTAAATCCTGTTTTATAATATAAAAGACCTAAAAATATAATGAAAAATGAATACAATTCTGAATAACTATGTTTGGTGGTTTTTGTTAATTCTTAAATTAGGTCCTCCCACTTTCAATTTTTTTTTTATATAATCCTGACCGACCTACCCTTTTTTTCACCAATGTTACCTGAAACACACAATATTTTGTTTGGCCTAACCATTTAGGAGATATCCTGCACTGTACTTTGAAATTTGCGGCGGTATATCGTGATTGTACTGTCCCAAATGGAGTTTTACTGGTGGCGCCGAACGGAGCCAGTAAAACGGATATTTGCGACTGTATAGTCATGGCATACTGCCACAAACTTCAAAATACCGTACGGTAATCCTCTTTCTAATTCATATCAACCAAAACCACTGAAAGAAATCACGATTTGAAGATGTTTTTTTCAAATTATGGGTATCTCTGCTCTGGATTGGTGACGTCAGAAATATTCAAATTGAGGCGGAATTAAGTTGACCTTTCAGGATCATGCTATTGTTCGTGACATCATGAACATGTGTCAGGGTCATCGACATCATTAACAATCGCCATTCGGGCTTCATGTGCAAATGAGAAATTTGCGAACAGTATATCGTTGTATTAAGGTCGCAATTTATTTTGATTGACCAATCAAATGCTGTGTTACATCTCAAATGAATTAGAATGATCATTTACTGTATACAATGTCACCACTGTACTTGATTTGAATGTTGTAATTTACATGAACAGGTATATAACGAGCAGATTCATGACCTGTTGGCTAAGGGAGGTTGTCTTCCGGTCAGAGAAGATGCCAGGAATGGTGTAGCTATACCAGGGCTGTCTCTACACACAGTTAGTATATGGCCAGCTTAGTAACGTCTGGTGATTTTTAGGACACAGACAGATGAGAGTCCAATTCTCTGTCCTAGGAGAAAATAGCACTTACCGGTACGCTTATTCTTCCCCTGGGACATGTGAGAGTCCTGGATTCATATATATAGTTTTCCTTAAGGAACTCACCCACGTTTTGAAAACTTACAATATCTGTAGGTAACATGACTCATCAAAATATTAGAAACAGCGTTCAGGACTCACCTGATCAAATACTACAAAAATCATTGTCTTGTTTTGAGAGACTCAGAAATTGGATATATTGTAAAAATAATTTCGCAAAATTAAAACTTATAAAAATTCAAACTGCATACATGCATTACTGGTAATTTCATAAAATGTATTCATTGGTAATCAACTACTGTGTATAGTAGGTAAACAAATCGTAGCCACAATGAGCATCAGGATAGAATGCAGCTTTGTACTATTGTATCATTTATGAAATGGAAGCTGGGGATTTGACAACTAACTTTTGCATAGATCAAGGGAAGGGAATTAAATGTTGTATAAATGAATGGTATGTCCCCTTCCCCTGAACAAAGAGTGGGACACTAATTATACAATGCCCCAGTCCCCTCACTGAGGGTAGAGAGACAAGCCAATACAGGGAAATATATATATATGTAAATTTTTAAAATCGCTCAAAATCAATAATTTCATGCATAGGTATTCTAACCATACTTGGTATGGAGCATTCATGGTGAAAGGTATTACAGAGTTTTTCCCAACCCTTAATCCCTTGGAGCGGGGGCCCAATTGGAGACTAAATGTTGAATACAAGAGAAGAGATTGCAAAATTGAACACGTTTGTCCAACAATAGAGTTTGACACTTAACACTAGTCCGAGACTAGAAGATTTCAGAAAAGACTAGTAAATCACCTAAACTATGTGGCACTGGTCCTTTGGACTTGTACGTAAATATGTCATCACTAAATCATTTTATAGAGATACAATAAAATAAGAATATTCCTTTTGAAAAACTGCTTAAAATACAGATATAAAGTGCCTGTAAAGGCTGTTATTTGTCAAAATTTTCCCAAATTTACTCAAAAAATGTCTTTGTGTCAGTTGTTATTTTATGTCTCCTACAGTCAATTACTTTTTGTTTTGTGATAAAGAGATGTTTCCTTAACCCTTTCACCACTGTAGACCATAATGGACTCATCCATATCAATCTATGGCAGAGTCTACTAAAGTTATATAGGGGTGAAAGGGTTATGGACATTTTAGGCTATTTACATCGATGTAGGACTAGAAACTAATCTATTCAATTAGTCCTGTGGACCACAAAGCAAAAATAACAAGTTTCTAATTCTAACCCTGACCGGTAGATATTTTAAAAGTCTCTCATATATCTATCGAACCGTTTATGTAATTACAGCCGAGGGATGCTGATGAACTCTTACACATGCTGCACTTTGGAAACCAGAACAGAACGCAGCACCCTACAGACGCCAATGCAGAGTCTTCACGTTCACATGCTGTCTTCCAGGTGGGGCCACCTTCTACTGTGACCCATAGCTTGTCTGTATGATACAGATGTACACTCCTGCCAATCTCCCTCATCTACACTGCTTTTATATTGGGACTTTTTTTGGGGGGGGGGGGGGGGGGGGGGGTCAATAATGGGCCCCATTCCCAATTGAAACTATTTCATATTTATGCCTAATTCCTAAAATATGCAGTTTACTCCTGAAAATGTCTTCCCAATAGGGATACAGTGTGTATTTTCTTCCCATAATGAGACAAAAAGGCCCCATCCCAAAAAAAAGGGGGGGGGGGGCTGCTGTTTCCCACTACAGGTGTTACCATCATTGACATAAGAGGTGACTAATGTGGGGTCCCCTGCAGAGTCGGGGTTTTTCTTCTGTGTTTTTTGCTCAGAAGAGACTAAATGGACCAAAACTGAGCTGCTCCATTGAAACTCTTAGAATCTATAACCGTTCTTCTCTCACTTTCCTACTTCTTTCTTTGTAGTATTTTCTTGGGCTCCTGTCTTCATATGGCAGTAGTTATTGGAAAGATGTTACAGCCCGAATAACAAAAAGCCATGCACAAAAAACAGTCACTTTTCAGCATGAATTATTTCCCAAGATGATACATGTATGATGCCTTTTGACTCATAAGTCTAAATGAGATAGTTTTGTGTCCCATGTGGTTTAAACATTTTGATATTTGATGCATAAAAATTCCCCAAGTACTCATTCTATGATAAACTGTTTCACAACATTTCATTGATATCCTGAGCTGTGTCTGTAGGTGTTTGTGCGTCAGCGAGATAGAACGGCCAACGTCTCGGCAGAGGTCCGCGTGGCCAAGATGTGTCTGGTGGACCTTGCGGGTTCAGAGAGAGCTACCGTGACCAAAAACTGTGGAGCGAGGTTTCGTGAGGGTGCCAACATAAATCGCTCTCTCCTGGCCCTGGGAAATGTCATCAATGCCCTGGCTGACACCAAGGTAACACTTGTTTGAATACATTGTACAGGGGGATGATCCCAGGGCTCCTCAACCCTGGCATCCTCTGTAAACACTTGCTGAGGAAGTAATATATTTGAACCTAAAAGAAAACTAAAAAAAAACAACACTTGTTTGAATGGTTTTAATCGTAGCTTTTCAGTTTGACTATTTAGCAAAAAAGTACCATATCAGGTTTCAGTCTTAGAACCTACACACCATAGACAATATTTTTTTTTCGAGATACAGATTTCTTAAAGACCTACTGAAATTTTGAAAGACCAAACTTTGACCAAGAAAATTTTACTGATATTATTACATGAAATAAAGAAAATATGTGCAAGTGATTTCACAGAGAACTTTTTCACTATTTTTATCATTAAATTAAGTACATCATAGAAAATAACTTCATAGACAACTTGGTTTATGAACTATTAAAATAATTTCTGTAGAACTAGTGTTTTTCATGATGATTGTGTATGAACCTACTGTTAAGTTCAAACACTGAGGTTTAGTAGTACCCACTCTAAAGGAGAATTACTTTATATCAAACTTGTAACTACTTTGTGGACCTATGAATTCGTGGATGAAGATTACCCAGGAAATTGACGAAATAAAAAAACCCATGTAATATGAAGATACTACAACCAATGATTATTAACAGATGATAAAGTTCCTTTGATGAAAAGTAATGTGTTGTATAAACAGGAAAATAGAGCCATGCCAGTCCAAAAGTTAATGGGTTATTTAGTGGGATGTTGTGCTTAAGTAGGGCATGCAGGGTGATTAATACGGCTGTCACAATATTTCGGAAAACAGGTATATCGCAATACACGGGTATATCATATCATACCACAATACAGAGATGACATATTGTTGTATCGCAATATTTTTTGAAAGCTTATTTTTCTGTTTCTCATTCTGTTTGGTGTTTTAACTTTGCAAACTACTACAAATTCTAACAGATAAACAAGCATTTAATAGTGGTTGGAATTAGTTCAAATTTTGTAATCGATGGTTGGTTTGACAAAAATCTTAAATCTATGTGATCCATATTATATATGATTAAGTTTGATAACATTCTGACAACAACATATTAAAAAATTAAGCACATCTTTCCTATGACAATATATCAGGATACGTATCTGTATTGCAATATATCGTGATACACTCTTGGTGTTTCGTGACACCCCTAGTGATTAATGAATCAATCATAACATGCTTAACCCTTTTACCTCTGTAGACCATAGTGGACTCATCCAGATGAATGTATGGTAGAGTCTATTCAAGTTACCAAGGGGTGAAAGGGTGAAGGTCGTGATGAAGCCTTACACACAGAGGCGAAACTAGTCAGTCAATAAATATAGGTACAAACTTACTGTTGCATCTTGAGCATATTGTTATTGATTCTTCCTCTTTATAGTGTTGTATAAGATGCATCACAAGGTATGAAATGTTGAAGCAACTTATGCGCACAAAGGGAATCTTGTAAAGAAGTTTGCATTTTCATTTGCAATGCCTTGTTCTCCTCAGTACAAAGGCCATGTGCCTTACAGAGACAGTAAGCTAACCCGACTTCTGAAGGACTCCCTCGGTGGCAACTGTCAGACTGTGATGATCGCCGCTGTCAGGTAAGTACCTAATGATCAAGAGTCTCCTTATTCCGTCTTTGCATATTGCAGAGTTATCTGCTCTTGTGAGCATGTATTGATTGTTTCGTCATTTGTTTGTGAGAGTAACGTCGTCAATTTTTGAGAAAAGGACGTAATTTTCTCACACAAACCAATGACGTAACAATCAATTCCTGCTCACAAGAGAAGATAACTCTGCAATACGCAAAGACGGAATACTAGCTTAAGTATTGATAATAGTCAAGGGGCAGGGCTTGAAATAAATTTTGAATAGCACTAGTCAATTAGGGTAGTAGTTTCCAAATTTTAATAGTCCATGTGCAAATTCAACTATTAAACCCCATATTATTCCACAACATAAGCAATACCAAATTTTGACTGCTAGTCAATCGTGCTAGAACCATTAGTCCAGCTGGAGATTTCACTAGTCTCCGACTATTGGACTACCCTTAATGTCTAGCACTAAAGGGACAGGTGTAACAATGATTGGTAAACCAACGTTTACCTGTACAGATATTTAATTTAATAGCGGATGCATTACCTATTGGTTCTATCTTAAAAATTTGGAATCAAAAATATTTGTTGTGGTTATATGTTTTAATTGCTAGGGGTAATTATTATGTACTTTTCCTTGATATAGGCTGTGCTAATAAATCTTAAAATATAAAGCAACTGAAAGGTCACTTATTTTGTAATAGTTGTGAATATTCATAAAAGGAAGTCCTGCATAGTCAAAGGTTTTTGTGTCGCTGCAACGCAAGGCAACATATAGGTATTACTTTGTCAGCGGTTGCGTCGTCCGAAACAAGGTATCCGTGTGATAACTTGAGTTCCCTTGGGTTGATTGAACTCAAATTTGGTACACATATTGCATACCAATATAGCTCGAATAATTTCGCATTTCAGAAGTCTACGTGCATTTTTGGTGGAGTTATGCCCCATTTATTGCCAAAAAGGGGCATTGTGTAGCTAGGAGCAATAATGTTCAACATATATTACAGGTTTTTCTGTTAAGTTTCAACTTTCCGCATTTTGGCATATATGTTTATGCGACAACTCAAACCGAAACACTTTTCTTACTAAAAGCGCTGAGCAGGCGACACATCCACTCCCGTGGAATTCTTGTATTGATTATACAAAATCCTAAGTATTATATTCTTCTGTTATATTGTTACTATGTCCACCTTGTAGCCCATCCAGTCTGTCCTATGAGGATACGTACAACACCCTCAAGTATGCTGACCGAGCAAAACATATACAAGCTCAGGTAAAGACGACACTTACTATATTATAAATCATGTACACTTTATCAATTTTCCCCTTGTAATGGTCTAAGTACTATGGATGAAGGTCATGTCTAGATGTCCTTCGTCTGAAGAAGAAGTCTTCTGAAACTAGAGAGTGCTCTGTGATTGTTAGAAAAAGATATCTTCTCGAAATAAAGACATTGCTTGGTGATTATTTAAAAAAGAAGTGTTTTTTTTCAAACCTGGGAGTCCTTTGTGATTGTTAGAAAAAGAGAGTGCTTTTTGGTTGTCTGAATCTAGATAGAAGATGGTGCTTTGTGATTGTCTGAAGTAGAAGCCTTCCAAACTTAGATCCCTTTCCATGATTATTTAGATCATGATTTAATATAGAAATATTGACTATTATATAAAGGAGAGTTACAACTTACAGGTTATTTCAAGTCACAAATATAGTCACCAAGATTTGGCTTTTATTTGGGCCTCTATATATTAAATGTAGTTAAATTTATTTTACAACAATTATGAAACGACTTATTCCAACTTATATTGATCGTTCTTCTTGGCCCTTATGTTAGCACAGAGAGGGTCTTAATGTGGGAGGAGATCCGAGTACCCAGAGAAATCTCACATGGTTGGGCAGGTGACCCCATACCTTTTCAAGCCGTTCGGGGAATCAAACCCCGGCCACCTTTGTAAAACGTGAATGGTCTATTCACTGCGCCATCCTTAAATGTAGTTCCTAAACTAGAAGTCAGTAATTGTTGTTATATGGGATACGGGTGTCTTGCAGTATGCTAAGCTGGGAGACATTGTAACTATTGATTCAGTCCAATATAAAATTTTGTTAAACATTCTATGTGACTTTTGCAGCTGAAGAAGAATGTTCTCAATGTCGACTTCCATGTGGCTAGATATGGTCAGATCATCCAGGAACTCCGGAAAGAGGTAAGTACTCCTTCAGTGGTATTCAGTGCTGTTAATGGTGACAAAATATATGTAGACAGTCAAAAGCTCTATTATTTGGAGCTTGCTCAGACTAGCCTGGAACCTATTGTGATACAGTGTAATAAAAAAAAAACTGTTCGAGTGATCACCTGTGAAATATTCCAAATAAATAAACATATTATACAAAATTTACATAAATGTAGCTCATATGAATGAGATTTATTTGAAGAATGATATTCATATTAAAATTGATAAAATGCTAAATTACAATTGTATTGGATCCTTTATGCTTGTCAGATTAATGAGCTGAAAGGAAAACTCCAGAGCTATGAGGATGGCAAAATGGTTTCCATGAAGCAGCTGTGTACAGTTCCTAACCCAACAGTCACAAGGTATGGTAACCAATGTCAAGGTCAAAAAGTATGGTAATGAATGGCAAGGTCACTAGGTATGGCAACCAGTGTCAAAAGATATTGTAACAAATGTCAACCTCACCAGGTATGCTAAAGAGCGTCAAGGTCATCAAGTATGGAAACTCAGGTCAAAATCAAAAGGTGCTGTCACAATGTCAAGGTTAAAAAGTATGGATATAAATGTTGAGGTCACAAGTTAAGGTAACTGATGTCAAGGTCACATGTTATGGTAATCAATGTCAAGGTCACAAGTTCAGGTAACAGATGTCAAGGTCACATGTTATGGTAATCAATGTCAAGGTCACAAGTTATGGTAACCAATGTCAAGGTCGCAAGTTTTGGTAACCAATGTCAAGGTCACAAGTTATAGTAATCAATTTCAATGTCATAAGGTAAAGTAACTTATGTCAAGATCACAATTTATGGTAAACAATAAGGTCATAATGTATGGCAACCAATGTCAAGGTCACAAGGTATGGTAATCAATGTCAGGTCACAGGATATGATAATTAATGACAAGGTCACAAAGTATTATAAATGATGTAAATGTGTTAGAGCATGGTACATATACTTATTATAAATCTGGTACCACAGAATATATCATCTTATGTTATCATAAATCTGATATGAATGCAGGAGACATAAGAAGGAAGAGTAATTTATATTAAACACTCTGTAGTGTTCTTAATATATCTGAGGCTTTTGCACTTAGATGTAAAAACTTTCACAGGGGTCAATTTTCACTGTTTTGTTCTTTGAACATCTTCACAGGGTTTAATTTTCATGTTATATCTTTAATAGGCAATAGTTCTTACTTAATCTCACTCTTAGCTAAACAGCATAATTGCAGGGTGTATATAAGGCCAATAGGCCATGATTTAAAAAAACTTCCATGAGATGTAAGTGTTTTATTAAGTGTTATCAACTTTCAAGTCTGCATGTTGCTACACATTTTTTCTGCAGATTAAAGGAAAGCATGGAAGACGTTTTCCTCTCCAGACTACAGATATGCAGAGAATATCTTGATTCTGAACTGAAGAGCCGGGACATGAAGTGGAAAATCAGTCGAAAGGAGCGTTGTCTGGCTAGAATGGCTAGCTTCAGGGATTCTCAGCAAAAAGAGGTATGGTTTGTTCTTCACGAATATGAACTTTTGCATTGACTCAATCACTGAAAGTTATACTATATATAGAACAAGGGTTTTTATTTCTAAATCAATGTTTTACCCCAACACCTTATGGATTCTATGCTATACCCCACTTCATGCACCTGACATCACAATGGTACAACAATGATGTGATGTCACCAAGTCAGGAGCATTCAAATACCGCGATACATAAATTGTGATGCCTTTTGTGGTTTCTGAGCTAATTCTGATGATTGGAATCAGAGAAATATACTCTTTCATGCCCAGGGGTGTAAGATAGGGAAATTTTACCCGAGGGATTTTCAAATTGCTACAAAACCCTCGACAAGCCTCTGGATTTACACAATTTGAAAAAAACTTGGGTGGAGTTTCCCTGTCCTACACCACTGGGCATGAAAGAGTTTTATAATCAATGAAGGTATTTTGACAGCCTGTTATAATGTGGGATATATATACAATACTGTTAACTGTAATTCTGGACATAATTCTTTAGCCAACTATTATAATAATTATTATAATTTACAGCCATCTTATATTTTTGGATTACCCAAAAAGCAAGAATGCCAATTTATAGATAAAAAATGTATACGTTTAGGGACTGACAATACAACCAAAGCTTTTTCTCTTTCTATCTTGTTTTCACGAGTCAAATGATATAAAAAAAACACCTCTTTCAGGTGAAGAAAAACATTTTAATAATGGGCAGACTGGCCGAGTGGTTAACACTCAGGCCTTCTATGTAGGCTGCCAGGGTTCAATCCCTGCAGTTGTCTTACACATGGAATATTCAGAGAAAGTGATTTTCTCTGCCCACACAACTCCAACAACCCAGGTGGAGTTTAAAATGGTCTGGGGTGGGTGATGCAGTATCTGTGCTGTAGCATTCAAGTGAGGTGGCACTACAAATGATGCCGTTGGAAGCAAGGTCCCACGACATTTAGAACACAATACATCTCCAGCACACATGCACGCATACACACATAGGGAGATATTAGCCAGGTGGCATAGGACGAGTAGTTGGCGCCTGATAAGACAGCTCCTGCAAATTCCTCAAAATTGCATTGATTAATGTATATTTTAATTGTATTGATTGTATGTACTGTAAAGTGTTCTATATTTATTTCATTTACTTATTGATAATGAAATTATAATTTCAGACAAAGGACAAAATCCAGCGGATGATCCACTCAGCTCATGAACGCATGACAAGTTTTGTCCAGATGAAGGAGGACAAAGGCGTGCGACTGGCCAAGAGTAACCACAGCCTGGAGGGGCTGAAGTCAGCTGTCCGGGAACAGTCCAGTGCTGGAGGGGACAATCTGGCATCAGAGGTATTGTCAAGGAGCAAATTTACCGTACTAGCATTTAGGGTCAATAATTGGTAATGTATTGTCAAAAACTGCTCTAATGGAAATCTTGAAAAAACAGGTAAAATTAAGACATGAATGCACCTCTGTCCCAGAAATCTGTAAACTGATGACAATAAATCAGTCGGCAAATTAGCAATGGTTGACTCACAGACAACAATGATCTTGGTGTTGACCCTGGGCCCCTGAGGTATTCTTATACATGTACACTGTACTTTACCTTGATGAAAATCTGTTAAGAAATAAAGTCAATGGCAAGATGACAATAAATAGAGACAGGACAGGTTACTTCCAGAACACTTTTAAAGGATATGTTATGATAATTTCCATCTGTTCAGCATTAAGCTTGAGCAGAACTATTGAAAATTTGATGAAATTTCTGAAAACAGTCAAACTAACTTCTTACAGATAACTAATCTGTATTAATAGAAGTTCATACAGCTGAATACATTACTAAATCCTAAGTTGTTACATGTTTTGGTCAGTTTATTATGTAGTTCCATTGTATTACAGAACTTAAAGTTAAGCCTACAGAACCACGAGTCCAGCCTGGCCCTGACCGAATCTCAGTACTGTATGAAGTACATGGCCAAGGTGGTCCGTTCCCAGGAGAGGGAGATATCTGGTGCAGAGAGGTACTTTATGATAGGCATTTAACTCATTCTCCCCTACTTTGATTTAGTAAGGTTCAAATGTGACTTTAGGAGTGAATGTTTTTTTCAATACTGTTTACAGAACTTCTGTACACCGGGAATTATACACCACTTTTGGACCTAATTAACATGAAGTTTAAGGATTTAAATGTACCTCTTAATACTGTTTACCGTACAAACTCATTTTTTGTAATGACCCATCAATTTTAATTTTTTAGGTTTGATTGTATTTTAATGTCATTTTCAACACACTCTCGTCCTTTTGACAGATTAATTTTACATCTACTGCACATGGTAAAACAACAGCATTGTATCCTGAAAGACCACGACCTCCTGACCTCTGACCTCGACTCTCAGTATCACAACATACAGACCATAACAGAAGGTCGAGAGGTGACGTTCGCGGATCAGAGTTTCTCGGATCAGAATAGTGCCTTTTCCCTTGGTGAAATGTTAAACTTCAAATCTTTGACAGCAGGTGTGTGTGTGTATAAATATTCCTTCTTTGTCAATTTCATGGTAGTGTTGTAATGTCATTTGAGAATCTTGCCCTGCGGGTTGATATTTTTCTGTCTTACTCTTGAAGTGGGGATGATAAGAAGGGTTGTCTAACTGGTCACTTTTTGGTAACCGATCACTTGAACAATCTTAGGATCCAGTAACCTGTTATTCGGTCAATTTTGTAATCAAACAATAAACAAGACAATACGTTATATGTTTAACAAGTGTTCTATCTAAATCATATTAACACCACTTATATACATGTATGTATTAATTAGTATGATAGTTTACTCGCATATTTCGAGCTAAACCCAGGAAATAGTTACATGTAACCTCAGTCAGAATACTACATGGACAAATAATGTTGGTATACAGTTAGGCGGGACATAAATGCCAAAAGTTTTCCATTGACCTAAATTCTTCCTCTGTACCAACAACATTGCTGTATTCCAGCACAACACATGTGTGAGAAGAGCTCGCTCGTATCTAGTCAGTCATCCTTGTCAATAACCAGCCAATCATCCATGACCAACCAGACTATGTCTGCTCAATCATCTGTGACCAGTCTTTCTTCAAACAACCTCTCGTCTACAATCAGCCTGTCGGAATCTGTTCAATCATCCGTGACAAGTGAGGCGGTGTCAGCGGAACAGGATACCACACAGGGTAAGTACAGAATGACTGGACAGTCGTCCCCTGACTGCCCTGTCTGGTCACAGAATTTCAGTCACCAGTTTCTCGTTGTTCAGTACACAACTGATATTAAATTGATGAGATTGTTTAAAATTTATTTATCACTTAACTAGACTACATGGATATTCATTCATCTTCGATACTCAAGGAGTTAACCTCGCTTTCGCTCTTTGCACCTCTAGAATATGTTAAAGAGAAATTGGAGGCATGCGCTAGCTATTCGATTGGTCTCAAGTAAAAACAACTGACAAATTGCTTGGCTGATACCTGTCCTTTGAAGATTACAGAGGAGTGACACCTGACTCCAAAGACAGTCATTTTACCGCTACTCGCCCAACCCACCGATTCTTTTGATGTACATCAAAGGATCAAACTAGTCTTCTCATATCATCAACAAGGTGGTGCACATTACAAGGGTGTAAAGAGCGAAAGTTAATGTAACTCCTTGAGTATCAAGGACGGGCTTCATTCAGTATAAAGACTCCCCCTAACCTCACCTCCCAATAATTCTAGAGAGTCCTGCTTTGGCGATCTATGTCTTTTGAATATATCTTTTTCTCGTTTGAATACTGGCATATTTAAAAAAAAAAAGATATGAATCATAACATTTGAGGAATCCTGCTTTTGAGTACAAAATTTATTAATTTGATCTACCTGTAGTTGTCATATCTAACACAGACACTATGCTGGTTTAAGTGACCTTCCAGGCTCTCTTCTTTGTAATTGTATGTATATTCATGTATGTAGGAAAGAATGACTAGCTGTAACCTCATACGATTATTGGTCAACAATTGCTGTATGCAAACTTAACTGTTGAAAAGAAAAAAGAAAATTATCAAACATTAATAATTCAAGTTTGTAAAATAATCTGAAGGTTTGCACTATTTTCCTAATACTTGTAATTTTACGGTCATTCATATCTGAGAATATTTCCTGATCAGGATCAGGTAATAAAGTTGCATGTTTTGAAGGTGATACCATATTCCTGTGAATTTTTACCTCTAAAATAAGAATATTGTAAGTTTAAAAGAATGAGACTAGAGAGCAGTAGTCTGTGTATTTACCATCCAATAATTTTATAGCCAGATCTTGAGAATTTGAACATTACTTATAATGTTTATCCTTTCGACTGTGTCCGCGATAGTAGCATCATTGGAGTGAGTGTTTCTGTTACAGGACCGAACAGGGTACTAGTGACCAGAAGGAATGTCCAGCCAGTCCGAGTACAGAGAGACCAGCCACATCCAGATCATAGACTGTTGTCCTTGGACAAAAAAAAACATCGGTCAACAGTGGACAGAAGTTGTGTTCCCCGGTTGCTGGCCTCAAGTGGACTTCTTTCTGATGAGGTTTTCTCCGATTTGCCCGGTCATGTCCCAGCAAACAGTATCAATAGCTTCGTAGGAGAAACAAACTGTAGCAAAAACGTGACAACAGAGTGTAGGGTGTTAAAGGGAGACAACTGTGTGACAAACATTAAATCATCATGTGTACTAGGTAGTGTCGATTCCGGAGTGTCATGGGAAGGTCAGAGGTCACAGGAAGGTCAGAGGTCACGGATTGATGGTCAAACAATCGGTAGTGTCCCACAACAGAATGAGGCTAGTCAGGACTTAAATTCTACATTTACTCTCAACCAGGAGAATATTGATCAAAGTGTTCTGAGTCGATTACCAGTAGTGGAGGACGTTTATGTGGAACACTCGGGTAGTCGTGGGTACTCCACGCTGCTGCAGCCACAGAGTGGCAATAAGATAGATAGTGGGACATCTCGACAGCCACAGAGTGGCAATAAGGTAGAAAGTGGGACATCTCGACAGCCACACAGTGGCAGTGTGTTTAAAGAAGCTATTAGTGCTAATTTACAGAGTACATCAACGCAAAACTCGGCCCACAAGTCATCGCAGCCGGCCCCGATCGCAACACACACGCCAACATCCTCAACACCCGCCTCAGCTAACAAGTCTGCACTCCTGACCTTGCTCAACATCAATCCACTTAACACAGATACTAGTTCAGTGACAAAACCTTTAGGGTGTGGTGTGAATTCTGTGAATTCATCAACTCTCACAAAGACAACAACAGTAAACATTGTCAGCTCTGGAAGTGAAATCAAGGGAAGTAACTCAGCCGTACCGGGAGGCAACGCTGGGAAGAGTAGCTGTGTGCGTTCCATTCAGTTTGATGGTACATGTACTCCCAACAAAGGTAGGTTTTAACACTTTCTACACTGTAGACCATAATGGACTCGTCCATACCAATGCACAGTAATGTCTACTAAAGTTACATAGGGGTGAAAGGATTAAACAATCAACAGAACAACGATGGGTAGAGTATAATGATATATTAACAGCTGCTGTTGAGAGTGGTTGTCAGCTGCTTTGTCTAAATGAAGGACATTGATCTGTCAAAGTAACAGGGATCGGACAAATTAACCCTTTCACCCCTATGTAACTTTAGTAGACTCTACCATGCACTGATATGGATGAGTCCATTATGGTTTACAGTGGTGAAAGGGTAAACAACCTTCAAACAATTTCTTGTATTATTCTGGATTCTTGAATTAATTTGACAGAGTAATTGCTCAGTGTATATTGACAAGCCTGTTATAAGTCAGTCCTCTCTTGTTTAGTATACATAGCAAGGTACAGATCCCATATTTTTTGTCTCAGGTGGCACTCTTACTATATAACATTGTCTTGTGTTTTCCTTTCCAGTGCGGTCCTATGCAGAGGTAGCGTCTAGTCCGTTGTCGTCTGTCCGTGTTCCCCTGCGACAGTTTGACAGTAATACCCCTCTGGCCACACAGATGACCCCTGGACGTAGTAGGTAGGTACTTCTATGTAATTTAACAGTAAAATGTTGTGCTGTGTCATGTTGGAATAAAGCAAGTAATTATCAAATTTACCTCATCATTTTTATTTTTTTCTGATTTGGCAATACCTGGCAATGTTTGTATGATGAAATGTTTTTAGATTTGTTTTAGATTATTTTAACCCATAATTTCAAGAGTTATTGCCCTTTTTTTAAAATTGTCATTTCAGGCCTGTGTTGACCAATTTTTCAAAACCGTGCGACCAGTTACATTGAAACATTTAATGATTTTGGGAATGATATGAACTTGACATCAAAATGACCAGCTTTTAATTTAAGGATTCAATATGGCTGCCATAGCCTCCTATTGGCTGAGACCATAACAATTATAACTTGATTTTTTGGGACCAACTTTGTTAATACTTTCGGAGTGATACTTAGGGGATATACTTGCATTAAAACACCAAATTTTATGTTTCCAGATTCAAGATGGCCGCTTTGGCCCTTGATTCACTGAGACATAAAAAACTTTATCGAGTTGGAGGTATAAATTTGCCTGTGGCTTACACTTCCAGTTTTGTATTTTGGGGTTTTATTTTCTATGGTATTAATATGTGATTTTAGTTAAGATAATTCTGACAATATTTTAATAATTCAGAAAACAACCAATCAGTTACAGAATATTTCATCTAGTACGTACGCTAGAATATAGGGATGGGACTCTTTAAAATTGATCCAGTATACAAAACAATGGGGAGGGTTTCTTTAAAACCTTAAAAATGCATTACTCAAAGTGTAATAAAAAGAAATCAATGAATTATCACCGAGGTTCTTACTTCAACATCTTTCTTATCCAGGAACTCACAGGATAAAGAGAACACACCTGCTCGAATACCTAAGGAAACCACCCCTAACACACCTGTACTGATTCTGAAGGACTGCACCCCAAACAGGATACTGAAGATGTCGTCTGCAGGAAACCAACTGACCAGACAGGCCACAGACAACTCACGCAAGGAGAAGAGCAAGCAACTCCAGCAGATGGGCTTGTTCTCCATGATAGACAGATCCCAGGGTTGGTACTCAGCTTACTCTAGCTATAGGTCACCGTATTGGGAGTGTATATCATCATTATCATTAAACTTTTGTGGAATTTTATGCGCAGCAATAAATGTCACTTAGCTATACTTTTCAATGGTTCAGTTTTCTAGTTGAGTAATATGCCTATCTGGATGGTATACGTTATTAGTGGTTACCATATGACCATTTCCATTTCGCACTCCGTATCAGCCCTCGACCCTTGGGAGTCTCAGCTGATATGAAGTAAGACATGGAAATGGTCATATATGGTAACCCTTTTATCATATACTGCTCTATAACATCAAAATTATTTGCCAAAAAAACACATAAAACACAATGAACAGAATAGCAAATACAGATGGATATAGTGTATACAGTACCATTTTTAGCTCACCGGATCTGTATTTTGTGCGATAACTAGAGTTTCCTTGGTCCGATCAAACTCAAACTTCATGCAGTGCTTCCTTACCAAAAGTGCTTGCGTGGGATTGCTTTTCAGGTCCGAAGGTCAAAGGTCAAGGTCACTGTTACTATAAATAGAAAATCTGTTTTCGTGCGATAACTTGAGTTTCCTTCGGCCGATCAAACTCAAACTTCATGCAGTGCTAAGTACAATCTCCCAGCTTCCTGTGCAGGCGACACATCCACTTCCGTGGAATTCTTGTTTCATATAAAACTTATGAAATTCGGCACAAATGTTTCTTTTTTAGTTGTCAGAGGCTCACTAAATTGAAAAATTCTTAGACTCGTTTCATGAATCTGATATCAATTGGAAACTCATGCAAGATCCTATATATATCACTGTTCTGTTAACATTCTCATGCCTAATATACAATATGCATTCAGTCTCAGACTAGATCAAAAGTTCAATTTAAAACTTTAAAAATAATGTTTCTGAAGTGCAGTTGTTTTTATCACAGATAAGTGCAGTTCCTACCTTGAAAATATTGTTTTGCTTGTACACGTGATATTGTGGCCTTAGATACTTTATACTAAATAGATTACTTCCCTTTGTTGACAGATGATCATGTGGAGGTACCCAGAGGCACGACCCCTGGTTATATGCGGATGACCAAGGCAGCCTCAGGCAGGTTCCCCTCAAGGTAAGTCATATCACAATACTGCTTTTTATACGCCCGTCAAATTTGACTGGAGTATTATGGTATGGGGTTGTCCGGCCGGCGTAAACTTTTGTTTGTCCGGAAATCTCCTCCTACATTTTTCGACCGATCTCTTTGAAACTTGGTATACAATATAACCATGATATGAAGTTGTGTCTCCCTTAAAAGAATTTTGATTCGACATTTTTTGCAAAAGTTATCGCCCTTTGTTCATTTCAGTATTTTATTTTTTGTCCTGAGATTTTCTCCTACATTTATTAGCTCACCTGGTCCGAAGGACCAAGGTGAGCTTATGCCATACCGTGGCGTCCGTCGTCCGTCCGTCCGTACGTACGTCAACAATTTCTTTAAACGACTTCTTCTTCTTAACCACTGGTTGGAATTTAACTAAATTTGACTGGAAGCATCCCTAGGTGGTGGGGATTCAAAATTTTACAAATGGTGGGGCTGACCCCCCAGGGGGCTGAGGGGCGGGGCCAAAAGGGGTCAATTTGCCCATATTGGTTTAAGCGACTTCTCCTCTGAAACTAAGATGTGGATATCAACCAAATTTGACTGGAAGCATCCCTAGGTGGTGGTGATTAAAAATTGTACAAATGGTGGGGCTGACTCCCCAGGGGGCTTAGGGGCGGGGGCCAAAAGGGGGAAATTTGGCTATATTGCTACAAACGACTTCTTCTGTAGAACTGTGCACTGGATATCAATCATATTTGATCAAAAGCATTCCTGGGAGGCAGGGATTTAAAATTGTACAAATGGTGTGGCTGACCCCCCAGGGGGCTGAGGGGCAGGGCCAAAAAGGGTATTTGGCTATACTGCTTTAAGTGACTTCTTCTCTGGAACTAAGTGATGGATATCAACCTTCAGTTCAGTCAGTCAGATCATGTGTTGTTGACCTAATTTATGGCATGGATGTTCATGTGGGGTCTAACAAGGACAATATAGATTTAATTAACAAACAAAAATATCATTGGATAGGGTCAGATGGGCGTATTATGCATCCGTTTACGGTGCTCTGTTTTGAAAGGGATGAATGCTGGCTATGTCAGACCACCAGCTATGACATTGTCTAATCCATTCCATTGAATGAAAACGTAAATATTCTATACCCCAGGGATTCCCTTTGTGACTGCTCTCAATTACACTCAAAGCACTGGAGATTGGTGCATCTAGCATAAAATGGGGGGGGGGATTAATGCTGTTTACTGGGAACTGTTCAGTTAAAATCCATGTTCACCCAGTGTTAATTTCACGATTCACATGTAATTGCTATATATTGCATGTTGTGAACTAAAATTCGCTGTCATGAGAAATTCGCCCACATTTGGGAGGGTGAAAAGGGGCGAAGGTTCAACCTGGGGCCTGTTCGTTTATGTGGAACAATTTCGGGTATAAATCCTGGCAGACCTGCAAATGTTTATACATGCAGGCCTTGCAAGGCTTTGTCAAGGCTTGCCTGAAAGCAGCATCAGATTACTAGGTCCGACCTTATTTAATAAACGAACAACAGTGGTCCGACAAGTTTGACCGTTTAAACAAAAACAGCCCTGCAGCAGATTAATTCCCCATATACAGTAGATGTGGGGAGTTGATTTCTCCTGTCTGGGACACTGCCGTGTACACTCCATCCTCAGTCTTTCTGTTTGTTTTAATAATTGAAAAGTGAATCCTATAATAGTTTGAGGTACTGTGGACATTTCTATAGTGTAGGTTTGACCCATGACCTTTCTTGTTTGCAGGCACAGGAGGGGACTGACGGAGGAAAGTGAAAACATCATCAGAGACCACCCCTACAGATCCAAGTCCAGCAAATCTTTGTGAGTTCTTTCAAACATTCTTAGGCAATGAGCCAATGAAAGGATTCGTATGTAGGGGTACATTCGCGTATCCGGTTGAAACGGTTGAACTTGTAAAGAAAACGACAGGCACAGATCTGAACCGAGGCTGACCTCAGGAATATTCGGCACGTGTGGATTGAGGGGTCCAGACGTACCTGACCGAAACTAAAATACTGACTATTGCTAGTTTGCATTATTTCTTTCTAAAACAATGTCAAGCCATTTGTAGTTTTTAAGATACATTATGTAATCCAGTGGAAGCATGAAAGAAGGGCATAATATTCTTGACACATTGTTTTTTATTCTCCGAAACTGTGCATTTTTAGCTCTGTGTATAGAATGGTCCAAGTGCGTTCGTGGAATATTCTTGCGCCACCTGTACCGTTTCAACCGGGATACGCGAATGTAACCTAGTATATAAAACGTTAAGGTATAAGTAGCAATCCAAACTTTTCTCTTTATGGAACAATATAAGGGCCACTTCTCAGGTTTCAAAAATGTTCATGGCTTCAATAAAAGTGGTTACTTTCTGAATGAGGGACATATCACTTCTGTAACAGGGACTACATTAACATTTACTGGTCTACCCCTGAAAATGTTACATTATAATAACTCGTTATAATCACAAAGACTATCCAATCCAGACTTTCATTTAAACCAGCCAAAGAATGCAGAAAGTCAAATAAAAGTTGTCGCCAACTTTGAGATTTTTTTTATTCAAAACCTGAAATGAGTGCTTACGTGTGCATAGTATTTAGAGGAAGGTAGAGCAGAACGTGTTGTACTTTCAAAGATGCTGACTTAAGCTACTTTCAGCTAGTTTTGTTGATAAAATGTTTTGGAAAGTCTTTACTTCTGTAAGTGTAAAGCCATCCCTGACACTCAAGGGGTTACGCTCCCTTTCACTCTCTGCACCCCTGAGCCAAATTGAAGGCCAGCTGGCTAGCTATTTGATTGGTCCCACGTAAAAACAACCTAACCAATCGCTAGGCTGGTGCCTGTCCTTTAAAGATTACAGAGGAGCGACACACGACTCCAAAGCCAGCCCATTTTACAGTTACACGATAGTGAGATTCTTTTGATGTTACCACCCCCCCTCCTCTCGGTACATCAAACTAATCTTCCCGTCTCATCCACAAGTTGGTGCACACCGAGCCTTTAGTTTTGTCATGACATTCCAGGGGTGTGCAGAGATTAAAAGTGAGCGTAACCCCTGGAGTACCAAGGTGTAAATCTTCAACTTTTTGCAATTGTTGTTCATGTTTATGGAGGTTTAATTTTCCTTGGATTGAAATCCATGAACCTACAGCTAGATGGCTCCCGTTTCATGTATTCTAATGTGTATATATATATTGCTTTCACAGGTTACGCCAGAAAAGTCAGTCCACATCCAATCTTGCGCGACGGGGATGGCAGTTATAACACCAGAGATGCGACTCGTACGGACAATAATTTGACCAATCATGGAAAGACTTTGAAATTGTGACTGTGATCATGTTCATTGCAAATCCTCGCGTGCAATTGTTCCCGGTATTTTTGGAGAGATATCACATCGTTATTATCATCAGCATCGTGTTACCTTCTATTCTGTGGTGGAAAGTGTGTACAGTGATAGTACATCAAGGAAAGTAACGAGTGATTTTCCTAAAATTGGTATTACATTTGACACTGCACACAGAAACTTCACGGTTTGGTATTCTCAATGCAATCATGAAAAACAGAAATTGATAAATTTGCATGAACCAATTCTGCATCATTGTACAAAATGTAGCAGAGTTCTGGAAAACCAGTCATAAACAGCTAAATAAGTGACATTCAGAAATTTCTCAGATAATGGTGTCATTGATTTTTTTTTATTTAAATGAAAATCTGGTACCTTAGGATTGACTTTTTTAAAACATTTTTTTTTTCGCAATCGTAAAAAGCTTGATATGTAAACTGCATACTTGTCCAAAAGAATTTCTAGAATCTGAAATTTAGCTGATATATGGAAACTATTTGTCTGATGCAAGTCAAGTGCTCACAATAGTGAGTTAAAACGGCTGGTTTGGGAGGGGAATGTGAACAATTTAATTGCCATTTTCTTTTAATTTTGCTTTTTGCTTCATGATAAAATAAAATCCCTATTACACATGTCTGATAGGCTCCATTCATTCCAGACGAGGCTTAGCCTAGCTACAGTATTAACAGTGAAAGCTTTTTCATATTAAGTGTTTTCAGGGGGCGATATTTGCAGCATATCTTGATGAAACATCCTTCATTTTGTTAAGAAAGAGAGGATATCACTTGATGTCACTTAATGATGTTGGATAAGTTATCCATACAGTCAGCAAAATCAGTTTCTTGTTTCAAATAAACACTTTAATATAAAACAAGAAGCATTTCAGTTTTTAAAAGTTTTATTTTGGAACATTTTAATATAATTTATGCAAAATATTTAATACTTCCTATTAATAGAAAATGCTATAAACTGATCTGTTCTACAATTATGTGAAAACTTTTTATATCATCTTGTGCCAAGATTGAATTTGTAGACAAAAATTGGTTAAACACACCTGATTACATGGACAATTGGTTTTTATTTAGTCCATGGGATCAAGTCTAGCTTGCATATGAAATTCAAAACTTAACACATGGAAATTTATATTTCTTAAAGGGTAATTGAAAGAAGTCTACTGCTCAACAGTAATGCATACTTTTGCATATTTTGGGACAAGATATTTTCTACATTGATATGAAACATGATTCAAATATAAAGTACATATATTTACAAAGGAAAGTTTTCCTGTTGGGAGATACATAATACAAGCTTGCATGGATATGCTTTTACTGAGATTCTTCAATATTCTTTGTTATGAAATTGTCTTTTAATAGCTGTAAATATATTTAAATCAATAAATGTCTTGGTTCTGAAAATAGAATTAAGATGAAAAATATCTGAATATTATGTGTTCTTTTTGTCACCGTCAATATTACACAAACAAGTAAATAACCGTTTTCTTCATGTTCATACGCATGTTGGGCCTCTAGGAACGAAAACTGCTACAGTTACGAATTCACACCAATTTCAACATTACGTGTACAGTACTTTGAACCAGATGGAGCTATTACAACCCAATGAATATATTTTCAATCGATTCACATTGCCTCTAATCAAAATATTTCTTGGATAGCCCATGATCAAATTATTTGAACGGTGCATTATAGATAACCACTATTTGATATGTCTATGTATAAGGTTCATCTGATCACTGCTATGCAAAAACTGAAAGTTTTCCCCCCCAGATACAAAGTTTTGCAGAAATATTTTGCCAGCTTCGTCCTTGGTGATGTTAGTGGGAGTTATTGGGAGTGACTTCCCCTCGTTCACCACAGTAGTGAGCAAGGGTCCCATTCACATGTTCCAGTTGAAACGATTCAGGTGTCGCAAAATAATTCCGCAGTAAATTACCACACCTTATTTTATAAAGAAATGATGCAAACCAGCAACATTTAAGTTTGGTCGGGCACGTCTGGACCCCTCAATACACGTGTGCCAAATATTCCTGAGGTTGAACCAGATACGGAAAAAATGCTTACTATAAGTGTTGTAAATTTACCATGAACGTCACCAATGACTGATTTGACAGTTGTGTCAGTGAAACCCTCTGGGTAGGACCTTTCAGTTTTTGCATAACAGTGATCAAGATGAAATTTATGTACCTACTTGCTGCTAAATGAACTTATCTAGTGATATTTGATACGGCATAATTACTAGGTATGTTATAAAAGTCTGACAAATTGCACATTCCTTACTTTAGGAAACAGTGTACATTATCACCATTGAACACTTACTAAAACTACTTAATTACAAAGATGCAACTGATGAGCTGCAATTGAAAATTTCTTGCAGTTGGAATACCATGCCCATCAGCATGTTTACCATGAGGTCTCATGCATCAAAATGCTTGATAAGAGATCCACACATCTACAGCATAGCAAGGCACAGTTCGGCTGTCCATGACATCATACGTGTAGTATATGGTTTCAAAGGCTAAACAGTTTGCCTTAGACTCGAATACTCCGTGTCTGTGACATCACACATGTGGTCTATGGTTTCAAAGGCTAAACAGTCCGACTAGGACTCAAATAACTAATAATAATAAGTCCACACAATTGATTATTCTCTTTTTACATTATCTACATTATCTAAACTCTTTTAATTTACACGCAAATCGTGACATTACCTAAGAGGCTGACCTCTCAACACTAGCCATCCTTCTTATATCACCCGACTTGTGTCCCTCGGTATTGACCCTTAAGTACCGGTCATTTCTGTAAATATCTTTCCACTTCTGCCTCTGGTTGAGAGGGTATCGACCCTGTAAATATCTCCCCACTTCTGTCTTCGGTTGACAAGGTATCTCCCCACTTCTGTCTTCCCCCCCCCCCCCTCCTGTCTCTCTTTTAAAGGGTTTGTCTGGTTGAAAGTGCATATGACTATGGTAATCAGGCTTTCAACAATGTAAATATTATACCACTTATGTCACTGGTCGACAGGGTTTCGACCCTGAAAATATTTTCTCATCCGACTGGTCAACAAGAAGTCAACCTTTTTACATACCATCCAACACCTGTTTCTGACAGGTTTTCACCCTGTAAATATCGCCCCAATTCTGTCTCTGGTTGACAAGGTATCGGCTATGGCAACAGCAATTTTGGAAAATTTGGTTGGTCTACACAGTGGACACAAATATTACATGACATTACATAACATGAAACTTATTGCACTGTTGTAGCTTTTTGTTGTTACATTAAAATTTAATCCGATTTTAAGAAAAACCCTGGCAAGAATTGAAACTTTGGCGAAGATGAAGTATCCACTCCACACGGACTCAAGAAAAACGAATGGTCTGTTCTGTTTTCCGAGTTTTCCTCCTGTCCTGTTTACATGAACACATGCAGCCTGCCACTTGAGTTGGCTCCCACGAGGATGTTCCTCGTGGGGTGGATAGCGTTAAGGGAACACACCGATCCTAAGTTGTCTGGGTCGTAGAATGTCGCGAGGTCTTCACACGTGTTACTGTACACCTCAATCTGGAACAAAAACAACGGCATCAACTTGAAACTTGTAGCGTATCACCGTATCAACCGAAGACCTCCATGTCAGACCGTGAGGCCAAAGTACTGAGGGCCGATATGGGTTAAGTATTGATGTAATAGCCTAGGATATAGAAATTGTCATTTTTACTGTATAACCTTTTTTTATCATATATACTGAATGTAGATATTTCTAACAACAGCGGATAAATAAGCAGCAACACACGTTGAATGTAATAGAGGCTTGATTTATCTTAACCCTTTCACCTCTATGTAACTTTAATAGACTGTACCATGCATTGATCTGGATGAGTCCATTATCATCTACAGAGGTGAAAGTGACTTAAACATGTTGAACTGGAAGCAAAATGGATTTGGCAGGTACCGGGCAGATATGATGGGGTGTTTATGGTGTGCATATATGATTCATTTATGATTCTATCCAGTTTACATAACTTATGCACAGCTAGCAGGGCAGATTTACACATACAACAAAACAAGCTGTATCAGAGACAAGTATATAATCATTTTCAACTTCAATCCAAAACAATTTTACGTGAATGCAATCTCAGTGGAGAGGAGAACAACTGAATATCCACATTTACAAATCACTTCAGTATGACAAAAGACATCGGCAAAATTTCTGTGCCTACCTGTCGAGGTCTCTTCATACTGCCGACTACAAACAAGTCCTCACGACGTGGATGCCAGGAGGCCCGGAAGCCGGTAAGCCAGCGACCAACATGGTTGTCATGCCTGTGAGTATAAACAAGATATCTTAGGCCCCTTTCGTGTATCCGGTTCAACCGGTTTGTTTGTTTTTAAATGTAACATTTTCAAGGTATAAATCCTGGCAGACCTGCAAATGTTTATATGCAGGCTTTGCAAGGCTTTGTCAAGGCTCGCCTGCAGCATCAAATAAGTAGGTCCAACTTCATTTCATAAAGGAATAACTCGGGTCTGACCGATTCAACCGTATGGATCGCGATAAACGAATGCAGCCTAATTCTCTGAAACACCTTGTCAAGCGGATTACATTGTTTTTATTTTTAATACTAGAAGTTAGAAAAAAATAATATTCGTGTGCACAACTTTCATACTGTTAACTTTCTAACCTTAGTGCACTGAAATTTTAGTTCATTCTCAAATTTTGATAGATTAGTTCCTTTATATTTTGGCGTACCCACATCATATATGCAACAGAAACGTATTAACAAACTTAAATTAGCGTAACCATAATTAACACTTCAAGCAATATCTAAAGTGTTAACATTAGATTACTGATTGAATAAGATTATTGCTAAAATTAATTATGTTTACAATAACCAATCCAGGTTACTTGTTTGTGACCTGTACATGTACATGCTTTTAAGTACAAATAGAAAGTCATAACTCTGCTCAAAAGCACACTACAGTATCAATATCTTGTACATGTATACGAGGAGCCACGGTAGTCTAGTGGTAGGACGCCGGGCTCGTGACAGACGGATTGCGGGTTCGAGTCACGCCATGGGACTGTGTTGTATCTTTGAGCAAGATACTTTATCCTGCTTGTTCCAGTCTACTCAGCTGTAAATGAGTACGTGACTGGGCAGTGCTAGAATTGTTGAATGCTAGCTGTATGCGCTGAAATGGCAGCACCGGCTGTATGCTCCCCAGGGAGTTGAGAAAGATATTGGCTGGTTGCAAAGGCCCTATAACCACGGATAATAATTTGTAAACCGCTTGGAGATGAGCGGTATATGAGAACCTAGAATTATTATTATGACTTATATAACGTTTGGGATGTCTGCAAAGATTAAAGTAATGAAACTGAGAAAAAAGTTGACAGATTAATCAGCATTGTTTTCCATCTTAGTACAAAAACGGCCATATCAAAACATCTAAATTCTTCGTACACAAGAACATGCGTAAACATATGCTACTGCTATTTTGATATTTTACTTACTTGAATGACTTGAAGGTTGTCAATGACTTTTCTGGGGCTGAGCTATCAAACACACTGGAAAAATAAAATAAAGCATCACAAATAATACAAATAAGGCAATACATATATATATCACATAATGTACTGTGTTATCCAGTTAATATACCCATGTCAATTTATTTTTTGCGTATTAACCCATGTAATATGACTGATCAGCCCAGTGATTGGTTGTAAGACATCAATTGTGACACCTCGCCTAGGAAAAAAAGTACATGACGTCACAGACTTACGCACTGGAGTGAAAATGGTGGCTTTCAACATTCCATGGTGACATTAAAATTGTCATTCAACACAAATGAATGCCACAAATCTGGACTATGTGATAAAAAGGATCTTACACTCGTTTTCATTTCATATGAAATTTATGAAACTCGTCACAAAGTTTTCATATTAGCTCGCCCCCGGTTATAAAACTCTTTACACTGTCTGGCAAATAAATGAAGAAATGTAACAGAAAATTCACTTATTTCTCTAGTGACTGCATGCTTGGACAAAATATTTTTCATTGTGTACCGTAACTTTGCATTTCAATTGTGTAAGAATTTTATCTTTTGGACCTGAAAAGGTCAACACATAATGAGAATATTCTATCTGAACAAGTTTTATAGCCATTTATCTATTATCTTTACACTGCATTAACCTGAAGGAAATCTATGCATCCCTAAGTGCTCAGCAGGACACAATGAGCTCAACTATATTCTGCATGTGTGCATACAGGTCTAGAAATCTTACAACGGTTTTATGAAATGCTACAGAAATAGAAGTTGTGCTGCCTGTCTTCATCCCATTTGTATACCCCCTGCCAACTTAGGTGAGCATGGGTTACATACATTCCGGTAAAGTATGATACTAACCTGATTTTGTTGTCCATGGAGGTGGCAAGGATGTATTTGCCGGTGAGCGGGGAGAAATAGGCGCTGGACACACCTTTAGCGTGCTGCACGCAGGAAATCGGATCATTCTTCTTACCGCCAACCTTCAACTTCCTGTGGTCCCACAAACTTACCGTCCTATAGAAATACAAACCAACTGGAAATATCATTAATTTGTTACAGCTTTTAGTATTAGTAATCAATGGAGGCAGCTAAGTTGGTAATATCTATTTGTTGTTTCAGTGTATAGATCGTACTTCATGTGACCAGTGACTGTTTTGGTACCGAAATTTGTCTTTACCTTCGAGTCTTGGGCAGTCAAAGCCGCGTTTGGTTGCAGGTAAATTAATTTTTGCTTTGTCTGGATGGTCACTGAGAAATTGAAGTGTCAGCCTTCTGTTTAGACAATGTAGGTGAACTCACATTATTTCATGATTTTTTTTTGCTTTTTGGCTGAAAGATTGAGAGCAAAAGCACCTGATAACGGACCAAATTTTTGTCACTTTTTAGCAGAAAAAGCTATCGCCAAGACCGACTTCTGGACGAAATAAATGTTGCTGGGTGATTGTGGATATTATCATGTAAAAGTAGGAAAACTTTACTAAGACTTTCTCAAAACTGTTGTTAAACACAGGTGATCAGTATAGAGAGGTGGTTGTTGTAGACAGGTAGTCTTTAATGCACAACGTAGACATGGGGTCGCCCAAAACAAGTGATTGCTATTGACAGATAGTGTAATGTAGGTTTGACTAATGTGAAATCAAATGTTTCTGTGGGGCCCAAATTTTTCATGGTTTCCAGACAAACATGAATTCGTCGACTACAAGTACTCACTGAAATGGAGAACTGCTTATGATCAAACTAGTAATTACTTTGTAATCCTATGAATTCGTAGATGCAGATTACCCATAAAATCAATGAAATTAAAAGCCCCACGAAAGTTAGTGATTTCACTGTATACATTCGTTCTAATGTGAGTAATCAAAATTTCATATAAGTTTATAAAAACAATTTATTACAATCATTTTCCAAATTTTAATTTGTCATTTTTTTTATTACAAACTACTAGTGTTATATTACATAAACTAATTTTGCAAGGGATCAAAGTCAGTTGGGGCTGATATATGTTGACCAAATTATACTTTTAAATCAAGGCCAACGGCCTCAGGCATTGACAAGGCACATGGGATACCTTTGGCAGGTCCCACCAGTACAAGACTTACCCATCATTGGAGGCGGTGGCAAATATATGGGTGTGTACTGGGTGTACACTGACGGTACGCAGGGACTTGAAGTGTAGATTGTATTCATGTTCTGCTTCAACTCTGAAAACAAATTAGGAACATCGTTATTAGTTAACATGTTACTAAATACAATCAAATCTAACAAGGACAAACACAGAAAACATTAAAAATCAAAATTTATATAGTTTCAATTTGAAGTACAAAGTAATTCCATTTTTAACCTAGACTAACATACTGTTTTGCATTCCAATCGGTTAACATTCATGTTTGGTTTACCCCTGAACTTTGTTCATGGTCCTATCCATTAATTTAAAGTGTAAAAAGCTAAGCTATCTTTGAATTTCTTTGACCTTCACTTTGTTTCTAATAACATTGGGTGAAGTACACAGTGGACATGGTGAACTTGACCTACTTCTCGGCTTGACCTTGGCCTACCAGCTAAAATAAATGACCCTTACCTACATTTTAATAGCTATAGTCAGTAATTTGACCCACTCATTGCTTGCCTTGACATTCCCTTTGGCGATTTTCTGTATACCCATTTAGTGTTTTTTGTTTTTTGTACATCCTATTGGTGACCTTGATCAACCTATTAATGACCTTGACCTTACCCTTTCGTGCGTCTGTCCACTAATGCCACAGTTCCATCCTGCTGTGATACCAAAAGTGACGATGCTGACAAGAAGTCAAAGTTCTTCAGCAAGTTGTAATCATCTTCTGATGTGGCGTATACCTGAATGCAAACAGCATAATATTATTATTAAGAATAAACAAGAGGCCACCTTGGTCTGTAAGGCTCACTTTTTTCTATCCGTTATCTGAAAAAGACATGAAACATTTCCACAAGTGTAAGATTTGTATTTACTCTCAACAATAACACTTTGTCAATACAAAAAGAATTAATCTCAAAAGTCTCAGTCAATCAGTGTTCCGGTCCAGCAAGCTTGGGATAGTTACCTGACCGAATGTCAGGTAAGAAAATTTGTATTTCGCATGGACTGTTGATCACAAAAGTCTCTGTCAATCAGTGTTACGGCCTGGCAAGCTTGGGATAGTTACCTGACCAAATATCTGGTAAGAAAATTTGTATTTCGCATTGACCGTTAATCGCATAAGTCTCGGTCAATCAGTGTTCCGGCCCGGCAGGCTTGGGATAGTTACCTGACCAAATATCTGGTAAGAAAATTTGCTCAAGGATACAACACAGTGCTGTGACGCGACTGGAATCCGCAACCACTAAACTACTGTGCATCCTAATATGGTTAATTATACTTGCTGAATAATAACCTACCTCATCAAATATTTCCTTTTGAAGGTCTCCAACTCGCAACGTCCCATCGTAACTATTTGAGTAAAGATGAGAAGAATTCCATGGTGAGAAACGCAGACAGTTGACAGGGCGGGAGTGAGGCGTGTAGGTTAACACCCCATCAGTCAAGTGTTCACGGCCAGGCTCCTAGTGAAGAAAGGTCACAATAGATATTCTTACAAGGACACAACTAATGACCATACAAGCACTCAGAATCCCAATACACTCCATGTCAAGAACCACCAACCATGTAGCCGAGTCCCATTACACTCCATGACCCCAACCACTAACTATGTCCCAGAGTCCCAATACACTTCAAGCCCCAACAACTAACCATGTCCCAGAGTCCCAATACACTCCATGACTCCAACCACTAACCAGTAACTATGTCCCAGAGTCCCAATACACTCTATGACTTCAACCACTAACCACCAACCATGTCCCAAAGTCTGAATACACTCCATGACCCAAACCACTAACCATGTCCCAGAGTCCCAATACACTCCATGACCCCAACCACTAACCATGTCCCAGAGTCCCTATAAACACCATGACCCCAACCACTAACCATGTCCCAGAGTCCAAATACACTCCATGACCCCAACCACTAACCATGTCCCAGAGTCCCTATACACTCCATGACCCCAACCACTAACCATGTCCCAGAGTCCCTATACACTCCATGACCCCCAACCACTAACCATGTCCTATAGTTCAACATCACTTCACCACCTTACATATAAATGCTATCAAACTTGACCCTTACCATATCCCAGAGTCCCAACGAACCCCATCCACTCACCCACAAGTTTCATGAAAATTAACTCATAATACTCACCAAGAAGGTGCTGGATACACGAATGTGATGTGTTTATACTGTAAAATACTATCATATAGTAAAGAAACAGCAGACTTGTGTGTCCAGCCAGCACCTGTGACCCACAGAGCCCCATCCATTTACCCACAAGTTTCATCAAAAGTGACCCCAAACTACTAACAATATCCCAAAGAGTGCCACAAAATCCCATCCATTTACCCCAAGTCCCATCAAACACGACCTAGGTCACTTACTCCGTCCCAGAGTGCCACAAAATCCCATCCATTTACCACAAGTTCCATCAAACATGACCTAGGTCACTTACTCCGTCCCAGAGTGCCACAAAATCCCATCCATTTACCACAAGTCCCATCAAACACGACCTAGGTCACTTACCACATCCCAAAGTCCCACAGAATCCCATCCATTTACCAAAAGTCCCAGCAAACACGACCTAGGTCACTTACCACGTCCCAAAGTCCGACAGCACCCCACTTGTCCCCAGCCACAACCAGTACCCTATCCTCTGAGGGGTGGATGTCCAAAGAAAACACTCGGTTGGGCACCACCTTGGCAACTCTTTCTGCTACCAGCCGCATCTTACTGAAGCCTTTCATGAACTGTTCTGTCGTCCTACCAAAAACAATGGTCATATATATATGAAAAATAAATACAGAAACAATATTCTAATGAACTTATATTACTGCAGATATTAGTTATTAGTGTTGTATATCGTCTAAAATAACCCAACAGCAAATATCTTCAGTTTGAGAACGCTATTTTTTTTCAATAAAATGATTCCAATGCAACTGTCTAAAAAAGGCATCGTTGTACATGTTGTACTCCACTTGGTCTTTCAATACTTTTAAATTTCCAATACTAAGGATGTTAAACAATATGTTGATACACTTTTAAATTTCCAATACTGGATGTTAAACAATATGTTGATATTAAACGCATTATGACTAAGCACTAAACTATACATACTAAGGCTGCAACAATATGTCGCGATATTTTGAATACGATTTGATACACAATATTTTTTGGGAGGTTACATTACACCAACGATATTTTCAGGATTTTGTCATTTCCTGTCTATTCATATCTGTTCCAACATGGCCAGTGACAGCCCCAGCACGTCGAAAGACATAAATTGTGTGAAATTTTAAAGTCCTGCGTTTTTCGGACCAAGCCTATTTACTGTTGCAATACTGACATTGAAACTTTACAACACATCTTTTCTCTTTGCTTCTACTATTACTAGATGTATATGTGTATCGTGCTACCTATCGTATCATAACCACAGAATCGTATCATGATAGTTGCCGCCCTAATACATACATGTGGTGATTTAGTGATACAGCTATTTATAGATAGTTGGTTTCACAATAAAACGTCATCATAATTAAGTGCATTTGGATTTGCGCGAAAAGCACTAAATTTATCGCAAAAATAGGTGTGTTTATCATATTTGCTCAATAAAACCTGTTCCTAAAGTAGTTTTTCCCCTGAAAACAAATTAGTCAAAAGCATTTTTATAAGAATATTAAATAAATGCGATACACAAATATATATATTTATCATATTAATACCATGTTATGCAGTGTCATAAAGCCATCACATAAATTGTGTTTATGTAACGTGTGTAATATCACTCCGGAAATGACGTCACAATCGAATAGGAACAATCAATGTGACATCAAGTCACTGTGAAGCGGGCGCCATTTTCACCAAACACAAAATATTCGTTTCAGATCACAATTATACAGTTTACTTTGTATTATATGATAAAATGAATCCCTTCATATTAGATGCATGATACTTGTTTTGGATTTTTCATATTTGCTCGGCAGAGGCACGCACACATTAAAAATCAAAAACTTGTAACATAAATCAAATATGAAGGGAAACTTACAGCTCCTCTATTTATAAAAACTTTTCTGCAAGGAATCAGTTATTGTTTACCTGGTACTGGCTGTAGTTTTCTTTGAGCTGTCTTCCTTTGAATTTGTCCCCTTTTGCACCAGTCCTTTTAATTTCGCCATCAGATCATTGTGATCCTCCAAACTTCCTTCCTTTAATAAGCTTTTCCTCATCTCAAGAGGACCACTTGGTTTTCTGGGCTAATAGAGCAAATTTTCATCAATTGTACATAACATTTAAACATAGATTGTTTTTTAGATCAAGTACAAAAACTCAAATAATTCCATACAGAAGTAGAAAGTGATAGGCAAGCTAAAATTTAATATGAGACTTGGAACACCTTTTTTAAAATGACACAATACCAACCCTGAAGTATGGTACCCTGAATGAGTTTCCTTAAGCATTGAACTGCTTTCAGTTGGCATTCATAGGCAATATGAATGACAACTAAACAAAGGCAAATTCAATGAAGCGAGCTAGAGCTTCATGTTGGATTTGCCTTTGTCTAGTTGAAACTCATATTGCCTATGAATGCCAACTTATGTTTACCATTTTTAGAATCTGTTTATCTCGTAAAAAATTCAATTGCACTTATTATTATTCAGCATTCAGTTCAAATAATGTATGTATCGTGTATGCTTGTCTTTTTTCCAATGAATAGTACAGCCATCGCCCGGGGAGGGTCAGTGGTATCCAACAAAACAATGATGACGTCAACAATAGGTCTATGGCATTTATAGCCTATATGAATGCCAACTGAATTTGGTAGGGTTGTATAGTGGCAATGCCATACAATGGTATATATAGCACATTTACATAATTTTGTGTTCCAATATGTTCAGATTTTTTTTTTTATTGGAGTTGCTTGCCAATTTATTACAGCAAAAATTTTCAATAGGAAAATATATTTCTATTTCTATTATTATTCTCTGTTGGAACGTATCTGTTCTCGAAGCACTTGATCATAACACGGGAAGCTTATCCACATTGCAGTGAAATCATGAAATTTGTTCTGCAACATAACTGGTAATACTGCTCGGACTCCCTAAAGGACGACCTTTGACTGTTTTTGTATGAATGTATAGGAAATAATATGAATTTAACAGTGCCCCTATCAGCATCATTTTTAGACAATACATAATATATGAAAAATAATAGTGACCTTGACCCAAAAGCAACTCTGTTCCTGAAAGACAAGCTTATACAGTATATTATCCTCCCTGCATGAAATGGTGGGCATAATAAGAAAATCTTAAGTTAAGGTTTGTTTGTGTCTTACGTCCTATTAACAGCTATGGTCATTTATAAGGACATGCCAGGTTTTTGTAGTGGAGGAAAGCTGGAGTTCCGGAGAAAAAACACTAACCTACGGTCAGTACCTGTCGACTGCTCCACGTAACCCTCGAACCGCGACCCAGTGGTGGAGGGCTAGTGGTAGCAGAATGTCGGACGCCTTAACCACTTGACCACCACGGCCCCTCTTAAGTTAAGGAAAACTTGTGAAATCAGAACAAGTACCATAGAAGCCAGGTTGATGATAATATATGTTGTTAGTCTACAGCTGATAGTCCGATCCGAATGGGTGACATATAGATTGTTCAAAAAGCAGCCATTCAGATAACCAGTTGTTAAGTATTAAAGCAAACTTTATACCAAGGCACGCAATTGAAGTTCGAATTATTAAAAAATCTGACAATTACGATATCACTTTGAATGAATGGCATTCCAATCTCGTTAATGTACCAAAATATAAGGGCAGATAAACCATATAAGGTCACAGTAGATGGAGCCAGTGTCACAGGAGCAAATCCACGTTAAGCAAACTTCTTAGGATGTGCGATCCCCTAGACACCTGCGTTACCTAAAGCATGTGTCAAAAATTGATGTCGGGGCTTTGCTACATTTATGTCTAATACATAACACTGAATCAGAAAAACAAAATCAAATTTTTTTGAATGATTAACAGACTTGATATATAAGGCAAAAATAACTTACATGTTCTTCGAGAGGTTCCGGCAATAACGGCACGGGTGGCAGCGAATTGCCGCTAGGGTCAACCCTCAGTAGGCGTAGACTGATCCTCCTTGGTAGTGGTACCCTTGGTGCCTTCTCCCTAAGAAACAACCCATATATTCAACTTCTCTCTGATTTATGGCACTAAGAAAGACTCAATGCTATGGCTGCAACGATATATACATACCTAACAATGCGATACATATCACGGTACGTTGCTTACGATACGATACGTATCACGATGCTTACGATACGATATGTATCATGATACAAATATCCGCTTAAAAGGTCAACTTCATAATGATTCAGTGCAGGATTTTATCAAGTTTTGTCATAAACTTCAATAGTAAATACTACCGAAACCTATTTTTGAATAGTTTCTGGTACTTTTGGGTATGACTGCACAGTGGACCACATCTTTACTGAAGGATTAAAAAAAATAGAGTTTGATAAAAATTGATTGATAATTTTGATTGCCATACGATATGATATATCGTTGCAGCCCTACTCAATTCTACTTGTAGCGGTCAACATGTAAACACTGTCTTGACCATTAATACTGCTTACTAGTCTATATACATCAACATGGTATAGCTTACTGCATTAAACTGGTTTGTTTATTGTCAGGACATTTCTTAATCATTCATGAAAGTTCACAATATATACTAAACAAGAGGCCCATGGGCCTTAACGGTCACCTGATATATTTNTTACTAGGGGTTTAGATTATGTTTAACAGCCCAGTCAACCATTCAGGAAAATTTCTTATTTTTGATTAGGAAATTACTTTAACTCATTGACCCCTGAAATTTCATAATGAACTATTCCAACCTTTGATTTGGAAGAGTTCAAATGTGTCTTAAGGGGTGAATGGGTTAATAGGACCTCTGATGACATGGAACATTCCATTTAACGATTAATGAAAAATCATGATCTCCAACATAGAAATTACTATTGAGATGATGCAGGATATTCCAGTTTTACCATTTAGGATAGTTCAGAATATGAACAAGGAAATTCCTCTACTGAGATGATTCACCATTCAATAGGTAATGAACTCCCCACAAGAAATAATTTACTGGTACTATATTTATCCTCCGATTTTTTTATTCTCAGAGAAAATCAGTTTAATATGAACACATGGATATTATATATATTTATCATTCGGACTCAAATAAAGAACATTTCCAGTCTTATTGTTTTTGTCAAAAAGTCTGACATTCACTTACTTTTTCAGACCCCTGCTAGATGCTTTTAGTTTTGCTGTGGATGGCTTTAACTCATTTTTCATCTGAAAAAGGTAAGTTGGTGAATAAAATGAAACACGATTATAAAACAATTGTATAATGGTAGAAAAATCTCAACTGAAACATTGAAAACAAATTAATCTAGTTTTTAAAATGTTATAACGACAGTTGCAGACGAAAAAGTTCGTTTTACAACAATTCATTACATTCCAACATGGCAATAAATTCACAAGGAACTGGTTGATAACTTCAGAATTGTTAGTGTATCGCGATACAGGCAAACAGAAATATGATACACAAGAAAGTATCACGACACAATATGATACACAAGAAAGTATCACGATACAATCCGATACACAAGAAAGTATCGCGATACAATAAGATACACAAGAAAGTATCACGGTACAATATGATACACAAAAAAGAATCACGATACAATATGATACACAAGAAAGCATCACGATACAATAAGATACACAAGAAAGTATCACGGTACAATACGATACACAAGAAAGTATCACGGGACAATACGATACACAAGAAAGTATCACGATACAACACGATACACAAGAAAGTATCACGATACAATATGATACACAAGTATCACGATACAATATGATACACAAGTATCACGATACAATATGATACACAAGAAAGTATCACAATACAATATGATACACAAGAAAGTATCACGATACAATACGATACACAAGAAAGTATCACGATACAATCCGATACACAAGAAAGTATCACGATACAATAAGATACACAAGAAAGTATCACGGTACAATATGATACACAAAAAAGTATCACGATACAATATGATACACAAGAAAGTATCACAATACAATATGATACACAAGAAAGTATCACGGTACAATATGATACACAAGAAAGTATCACGATACAATATGATACACAAGAAAGTATCACGATACAATATGATACATAAGAAAGTATCACGATACAATATGACACACAAGAAAGTATCACGATACAATATGACACACCAGAAAGTATCACGATACAAAATGATACACAAGAAAGTATCACGATACAATATGACACAAGAAAGTATCACTATCCAATAAGATACACAAGAAAGTAGCACGATACAATACGATACACGAGAAAGAATCACGATACAATATGAAACGCAAGAAAGTATCAAGATACTATATGATACACAAGAAAGTATGACGATACAATATGATGCATAAGAAAGTATCACGTTACAATATGACACACAGGAAAGTATCACGATACAACATGACACAAGAAAGTATCAGGATACAATATGATACACAATAAAATATCACGATACAATAAGATACACGAGAAAGTATCACGATACAATACGATACACAAGAAAGTATACGGATACAATACGATACACAAGAAAGTATCACAATACAATATGATACAATATGATACACAATAAAGTATCACGATACAATATGAAACACAATAAAGTATCATGATACAATATGATACACAAGAAAGTATCACGATACAATATGATATACAAGAAAGTATCAAGATACTATATGATACACAAGAAAGTATCACGATACAATATGACACACAAGAAAGTATCACGATACAATACGATACACAAGAAAGTATCACGATACAATACGATACACAAGAAAGGATCACGATACAATACGATACACGAGAAAGTATCACGATACTATATGATACACAAGAAAGTATCACGATACAATATGATATACAAGAAAGTATCAAGAAACTATATGATACACAAGAAAGTATAATTTAGTTCAATGCATCATTTCAGCCCTGGATGCAAATATATGTACATTCGTTATCAAACAAATTACCTCGGATATTCCCAGGCTGGAGAAAAAGTCAGCATTGTCTTTGATGTTCTTAAGTCTTCTTTTCTCATATGTGCTAATTCCATCCTGAAACATGGACCATACAAAACTTACCCACTCACCATCCGTAACCAGTCATAGAGGAGTTATAATATAAACTATAAATCTATTTTACAACAATTATGAAACAAGTTGTTAACTTATATTAATCACTCTTGCTGGCTCGGACGTTAGCGTGTAGGGGTCTTAGTGTGGGTGGAAACTGGAGTACCCGGCGAATACCCACATGGTCGGGCGGGTGACTCCATACCTTTTCACGTCCAATCGGGGAATCGAACCCCGGCCGCATTGGTGAAAGGCAATGCGCTACCCGACCACCCAAGAGTTAGATTCTGCTGATGGTCATCCTCAATACTCCAGGGGTTACATTCACTTTCGTTCTCTGCAACCCTGGAATATGTCATAGCAAAATGGAAGGCTCAGTGTGCACCACCACCTAGTGGATTAGACGAGTAGACTATGTTGATTGACCCTTTGATGTACAACAAGAATCTCTTGGTCGCGTAATGGTAAAACTTACTGGCTTTGAAGTTGGGCATCCCTCCTCTGTAATCTTCAAGGAATAGGTATGAGTCTATCGATTGGTCAGGGTTTTTTACCTGACACCAATCAAGTAGCTAGCCACGTGCCTTCAATTTTGCTATGACATGTTCTAGGGGTGAAGAGAGCAAAAGTGGGAGTTAACCCTGGATATCAAGGAAGGTTGATGGCATACAAAGGACATTGCTGCTTCTGCTGAAAATTCCTTCCTTTACACCTTGGGACTGTAATATCAGCACTGCCAACCCTGGGGTATGTCATAGCAAAATCAAAGTCTGTCATATCACACATGACTACCATGTGGATGAGACAAGAAGACTAGTTTGATCCTTTGATGTAAATCAAAAGAATCTGTCGGCTGCATAACATTAAATTTATAGGCATCGCTCCTCTGTAATCTTCAAAGAACAGGTATGAGTCTAGCAATTGGTCTTTTTTTTTTTTTTTTTAACATGACACCAATCAAATTGCTAGTCTTGTTCCTTTAATTTTGCTATGACATATTCAAGGGGTGTAGAGAGCAAAAGTAAGCATAACGCCAGGGCCCCTTTTGCGAATCCGGTTCAACCGGTTGAAACAGTTGAACCTGTTAAGAAAACGACAGGCACTGATCTCAACCGAGGCTGACCTCGCGAAAATTTGGCACATGCAGATTGAGGGGTCTAGACGTACCTAACCGAAACTGAAATGCTGACTATTGCTAGTTTGCGTTATATCTTTCTAAAACAAGCCACATGTAGTTTTTAAGATACATTATGTAATTCAGTGGACCCGTGAAAGAAGGTCATAATATTATTGATACATTGTTATTTATTCTTCGAAACTGTGCATTTTTAGCTCTGCTTATAGAACGGTCCAAGTGCGTTCATTTGTCGTGGAATATTTCTGCGCCACCTGTACCATTTCAATCGGGATACGCGAATGTAATCCTGATTTATCAAGTATCTCTACTAGGTGAGGCTCTTCAGGATTTAGCAATCCATAGGTTATACGGAGGTCTGCTGCTTAACCTTCCTCAAGCTGCCGAGAAAACATCACTGAATACATGTTGGAACATTTTTTAACAATTTAGATAGATATGTTTTAATGCAACATTGAATTAGTCGCTAGTAAAGGTTAATTTCCATTTGCCACTCAGCTACTAATCGCCAGTAAAGCATAATCTTCATTTGCCACTCGGCTACTAATCGCCAGTAAAGCATAATCTTCATTTGCCACTCAGCTACTAATCGCCAGTTCAGCATAATCTTCATTTACCACTCGGCTACTAATCGCTGGCGTAAAGCATAATCTTCATTTGCCCCTCGGCTACAAGTCTTTAAAACTGTTATGAATTGTTAATTAAAAGAAATAAAAGGTGATCCAACACTCCTGATGTAGAACTTTGTGGTAGTGTCCTAGGGTAGATCTGTGAGTGGACTCTATAGAGCTCCTAATATAGAACTTTGTGGTAGTGTCCTAGGGTAGATTTGTGAGTGGATTCTATAGAGCTCCTAATGTAGAACATTGTGGTAGTGTCCTAGGGTATGCCTGTGAGTGGATTCTATAGAGCTCCTGATGTAGAACTTGGTGTAGTGTCTATAGAGCTCCTAATGTAGCACTTTGTGGTAGTGTCTATAGAACTCCTAATGTAGAAATTTGTGGTAGTGTCTATAGAGCTCCTGATGTAAAACTTTGTGGTAGTGTCCTAGGGTAGATCTGTGAGTGGATTCTATAGAGTTCCTGATGTAGAACTTTGTGGAAGTGTCCTAGGGTAGATCTGTGAGTGGATTCTATAGAGCTCCTGATGTAGAACTTGGTGGTAGTGTCTATAGAGCTCCTGATGTAGATCTTTGTGGTAGTGTCTATAGAGCTCCTAACGTAGAACTTTGTGGTAGTGTCTATAGAACTCCTAATGTAGAACTTTGTGGTAGTGTCCTAGGGTAGATCTTTGAGTGGATTCTATAGAGCTCCTGATGTAGAACTTTGTGCTAGTGTCTATAGAGCTCCTAATGTAGAACTTCGTGGTAGTGTCTATAGAACTCCTAATGTAGAAATTTGTGGTAGTGTCTATAGAGCTCCTGATGTAAAACTTTGTGGTAGTGTCCTAGGGTAGATTTGTGAGTGGATTCTATAGAGCTCCTAATGTAGAACATTGTGGTAGTGTCCTAGGGTATGCCTGTGAGTGGATTCTATAGAGCTCCTGATGTAGATCTTTGTGGTAGTGTCTATAGAGCTCCTAATGTAGAACCTTGTGGTAGTGTCTATAGAACTCCTAATGTAGAACTTTGTGGTAGTGTCTATAGAGCTCCCAATGTAGAACTTTGTGGTAGTGTCTATATAGTTCCTAATGTAGAACTTTGTGGTAGCGTCTATAGAGCTCCTAATGTAGAACTTCGTGGTAGTGTCTATAGAACTCCTAATGTAGAACTTTGTGGTAGTGTCCATAGAGCTCCTAATGTAGAACTTTGTGGTAGCGTCTATAGAGCTCCTAATGTAGAACTTTGCGGTAGTGTCTATAGAACTCCTAATGTAGAAATTTGTGGTAGTGTCTATAGAGCTCCTGATGTAAAACTTTGTGGTAGTGTCCTAGGGTAGATCTTTGAGTGGATTCTATAGAGCTCCTGATGTAGCACTTTGTGGTAGTGTCCTAGGGTAGATCTGTGAGTGGATTCTATAAAGCTCCTAATGTAGAACTTTGTGGTAGTATCTATAGAGCTCCTGATGTAGAACTTTGTGGTAGTGTCCTAGGGTAGATCTGTGAGTGGATTCTATAGAGCTCCTAATGTAGAACATTGTGGTAGTGTCCTAGGGTATGCCTGTGAGTGGATTCTATAGAGCTCCTGATGTAGAACTTTGTGGTAGTGTCCTAGGGTAGATCTGTGAGTGGATTCTATAGAGCTCCTAATGTAGAACTTTGTGGTAGTGTCCTAGGGTAGATCTGTGAGTGGATTCTATAGAGCTCCTAATGTAGAACTTTGTGGTAGTGTCCTAGGGTAGATCTGTGAGTGGATTCTATAGAGCTCCTAATGTAGAACTTTGTGGTAGTGTCCTAGGGTAGATCTGTGAGTGGATTCTATAGAGCTCCTGATGTAGAACTTTGTGGAAGTGTCCTAGGGTAGATCTGTGAGTGGATTCTATAAAGCTCCTAATGTAGAACTTTGTGGTAGTGTCTATAGAGCTCCTAATGTAGAACTTTGTGGTAGTGTCCTAGGGTAGATCTGTGAGTGGATTCTATAGAGCTCCTGATGTAGAACTTTGTGGTAGTGTCCTAGGGTAGATCTGTGAGTGGATTCTACAGAGCCCCTTACTTATAAAACATAATGGAGAAATAAAGGAATCTCAAGACCACAGGGACGTTTTATGTGATTTATTGTCTACATGTTTCGGCCTGCTGTCCTGATGATGACCGCATAGCAGGCCGAAACATGTAGACAGTAAATCACACAAAACGTCCCTGTGGTCTCGAGATTCCTTTATTTCTCTATCATAATTTGTTAATTATAACAATTTGCTATTCAAAGAACAGTTGGGTCTATAAATTGTCACCAGTTTTATATCAAAAACACGAACTGGAATCAGGAAATGAAGTCAGCGGATAACCTGGCAGGTAGATTAAATATAAGATAGCAAAAAGTTGAATTTTGCTTGGTGACGCAGCCTACAACTGTGGAGGCATATGGTAGTCTAGTGGTAGGATGCGGGCTTGTGACCGAATCAGGTTGTGGGTCGAGTCATGGCTTGGTACTGTGTTGTATCTTTGAGCAAGATACTTTACTCCACTTGTTCCGGTCTACTCAGCTGTAAATGAGTATGTGGTTGGGCACGAGTGTTAGAATTGTAGAATGTTAGCTGTAAATGTGAGCGCCTAAATGGCAGCACCAGCTCTATGCTCCCCCAGGAGTTGAGATAGATATTGGCTGGTTGCAAAGGCCATATTATTATTATAACCACAGATAAAAATTTGTGAACCACTTTGAGACCTACAAACTAGATTGTGATAAAGTGGTTTATATATAAGAACATCAAATTGTTATCATTATAACACTGGTCACGTGCTATATGCTTGTTACGTATACTACGACAGTGTTTATTTTGGGATGCACCTTGTGGGATGCATCTTATCATGTGGGATTCATGCATAAATATATATATTTGGCCCCTATTCTCCACATATATGCAGCAGAAATGCCACTCATATGAATGGTCCTGAATTACCATGGAGCCGTTAGAATTGGTATGTATGGTACGTACATGTATACAGTAAATATATCAGTATTATCACAGAATCCACAATGGCACATTGTGCAAGTCTGTAGTATTATAAATTCGCCTTTAGATTAAAATGTGTTTTTTGTCTAGTACATTGCCCCACTTTTAAACACAAAAGGCCCCATATTATTTTGGTAAGTAAGAAATCACCGTAAGATATATATACCTGGTATATCTACCTTAAAAAATTATATGGTATTTTCAGTCATGTCTGAAAGCAAAGTTACTCGGCACTTATAAGATGAAATAGTTGCTTGATTTTCCAAAACCATTTCATCCGCTAAATACTATAATATAAGCACTTTGAGGAAGTTATATAATACCTCATCATGCAAGTCCTCTTCATCACTTGACTGTGATGTCGGCTCTGTCTGTGCTTTTACTACTTGTTGCTGGTCAGTCAATATGGTGGGTTCTTTCTTTATTACTGTACATGTGGTTTGTTGGTTTGATTCAACCTCTTGTAGCGGTATCTTCTCCTCCTTAATCGCATCACCTTTACCACTCTGTGAAAACAAGGATTTATCTGCATTTCTATAATGACTGTACATGTAGATTTACCTTGGTGGTTTCAGTACTTAGTTTAGGGAGTTTGTTCCATTTACCTCCCCTGTTACGGTTTTGGCAAAGCATTTAGTGCAATTTTGTTCTCAATTCCAGTCCCTATAGTATACCCCCTTTCCACATGGAACTGTGTTGTTTGACTTTCTAATGGGAAATTACTTCACACGTAAATAGCCTGATTTTGGAGAGTTTTGCAATGATATAAGGATATAACAGAAATTATCTAGGGGAAGGGTTATAATCAAAGAGGAGATCATGATAGACTTAGCCATTTCCACTTCATTCTTTCAAATAAATATTGGGAAAACAATTGATCCTATTCTGCATCTATGCCAGGAATTATTAAAGATTTTAACCAATGTCTAGACAAAAACAATCAGAATATAATTGCACATAAGTATCAAGAAGAAGAAGAAGAAACGGCAAGTTGGTAATTCCTCGATCAGTCAATATTTATAAGTCCAAATAGGTCAGATTTTTTCCTCACCCTTTTCCTCTTCAAACTCGTATTTCCATCTCCATCTGTCCGATTTAGTGTTCGTTTGGCACGGGTACTGCGTGTAGTAGACATTTCCCTTCCTTTGGATAAACCTTTAGCCCTGTTTACTGTTGTCTTTTCCAAGCTGGTTTCCCGCCGTAAATTGATTTCGTAACCAATATTCAACGGTGTTTCGTAATCAAGTTTTTGTGTCAAATTTATGATTATTTAGAATAGAAATTTGGCAAAGGCTGAAAAAAATATCATACTTGCTTGTTACAACCTAACAATATCACGGAAAGTGTCTCTTTTATCCAGACTTAATTACACATGTGATAAGTTATAAATATCGCGATGGAAGGCGTTCGTGTTTTCCAAGGTGAAGAGTTCCACAATAGTTAATTCGGAACCTCTCTCGACCTTTCATATTAAAATGAGAACAACAACAATTTCTTTCATTTAATTTCACATTTATTGTGTATACTGACAACACATGGAAATTTAATATCCATACAAATTGTAAAAATACTATATTCGTCTTATCAAATATGAAAATTTCCACACACAAAGCAGACAACCTGATACATGTACAACACATGTTCAATATTACACTTGAAGCATTTATCAGGCACAGGGTCTTGTTCATAGTGGTTAGAATATGAAGAAAGACACACAGCAAGACCAGTTTTTGTTTTTAAATAAACTGGCATTACATTATATATCTCATCTCGGTTTATTATCTAACAAATATCAACAGCACCCTGTGATTCAGGGTTAGGACTTTCAAAATTGTGTAGCAATTGTCTGTGGGTACATACTCAACAGAGACCAAAATGGCTTTAATGCGGACTAAATTATTTTAGTATATAGCTAAATTAGCATATTTGATTAATATTTCAAATATAGTTATACTTAATGAACATGTAATATTTTATCATGAAGCAACTATGAAGAGGTTATATTAGGATGCAATTATTTTGATTGTCATTTAATCCACCGTTATGCAATTTAAGGATCCCTGTCTCACTGCAAGCAAAACACAGCAACTTCCCCTGAATTTTGTTCTAGATACACCTGTTGTGGGACCGGGGTAGGGAAGTATATCTGATCAGGTAGCTCAGTTTCTTTGGGTGACCCCATAATAAAACTGAAGGTTCATGATGTGAATTCTGCCTGCTGTAATTTACTCGCAGAACATTGGCGTTGATTTTGATTTTGATTCCATCTTAAAAAATATTGAAAAAATTAAGGTATTCACATGAATTTTTTTCAGAAATTAATTTTCACAGGTATTGTCATACCAGTAAAAAAAAATCCAATTAATACCTTCATTTTTAGGCAGTGATATGGGGATACTTAAGCATAATAAAACTGGTAGAATCATTGACAGATGTATGTTAGTTAGGTTATTGTTTTGAAGCTTTTTATGTTGGATCTCTGTCATTGTTTTTTTGTTTCTTATTTAACTCATTTACCCCTGAAGATACATTTGAACTCCTCCAATTCAAAGGTTGGAATAGTGCATTATGAAATTTCAGGGGTGAATGAGTTAAGAATCACTGTCCCACTGCACTATGATTTTATATACATAACAGTAATCTTCCCTCAACCCTTTAACCCCTATGTAACTTTAGTAGACTCTATCATGCATTGATCTGGATGAGTCCATTATGATCTACAGTGGTGAAAGGGTTAACTTCAGTCTGGATTTAACTGTAACACTGTTAAGCCAAGACACTTCTGTTGACCAGGTAGCACAGTCGGTTTAAGAGCGATGGTATATATCTATATGAATTGATTTGTTTTACACTCAAAACACAGTTTTTGATAACATTTTGTTTTTATTTCATCTAAAATATATAGTTTCCAACACTTCGTTATAGTTTTTGGCAGTGGTACGGGGATCCTTAAGGAAAATGTTACCGACCCTGAAATGTTGCTCTTTAATGTATCTTCTGATCTGTGTCTTTAAATAAATAATGTCATCTGCTGAAACCCTGCAAATGGTTAAAACAAATATTTGGGACTAAACAAATACAATGTACTATACATGTAGACATACGTTTAAACGTCTCTGATCCGACATTAACGCACACGTCACATGATCAACATAAAAGTTAGGAAATATTGACATGGTTTAATATATGACTTACTGAAAAATTATATCAAATGAAACACCTAAAATATATATATTTTACATCTGTTATGGGGAGGTGTGATACATATACAATATATGTATGCATACACAAAATGAAATGAAAATTAATAGATGACATAACGTAAATGGTTCCTTCACAAATGTAAAATTTACTGATCTATAGATGATACTGTACTTTATATATAGCATAAATATTTTTCTTAAAAAATGAACGAAAAAACAGAAAATTTTCTTAACACAACATATTAACTCAAATCAATCAACGCACTGAGACTGAAAAAATAAAAAAAAATAGTCTCTTTGTCAAGTGAATTTTTCTCATAGTCTATGAACAACCTTTATCCTACATCTGACAGTAAAACACAGTACAACCGTTCTGAATCAATAAAATTAATTATTCCAACAACCTACATATGGTAGGTGTAAAATACTGACATAAAACTCACTTTATCAGACAACTGCATCATAAAATCCAAAACTGATCTCTGTAATACTAAACCTATACCAGGACTCTACACTCACTTCCTAACCCTTTCACCACTGTGGACCATAATGGACTCATCCAGATCAATGCATGGTAGAGTTTACTAAAGTTACATAGGGGTGAAAGGACTAAACATCCAATCAATGTACTGGGGTGCTAGACTCCATAAGAGTTAATCACAATATACTAAAACAAATTAACTCAGTTTGTAGTAAAGTCGTTTTAAGGTCAATGTAACAGAGGTCATATTTTCTTCAATGCCTCCCCTAGGAGTCGAACCTGGGACCTCTGGCTTACTAGTCTTAGGCTCTACCGAATGAGCTAAAAAGAAATTCTCCCTAGCCGAGTCGGTAGGAAGCGGCTAATATTTTGTACCAGGGTGACATAAATATACTTTTAAGTCATTATTGGGAGTAAAAAATCTTGCATATTCGCATCCAGGACTTATTTCTGAATTTCATTTTCAAGAATCACAATTTCAATAGATTGACAGATTTCTTTTAAGTTCTTTTTATTTTACATCCATAAAATGTTTTATTCGTTTCATACAAAAAAAGAAGAACTTTTTAACTTTGACTCAATACTACATTCCAATTTTATCTTTCTTGCCAAAACAGATTAGATTATGGATATTATAAACTCTACACTACTGGTATTGTTATATACCGTATTTATCCGGCAATAAGCCCATGCTTGGTAACAAGCCCACCAATATATATATTTCTGATAGGATAAAATGCCAACAAAAAGCCTTTCCATCGTCCTGTAATAAGCCTATCCCCAACTTTCAGTCAAGATGTGTTGGCCCCCTGGGTTTATTGCATGATAAATACAGTGTATTTATTTACACCCTTAACCCTTTCACCCCTATGTAACATTATCAATCTCTTCCATGCATTGATCTGGATGAGTCCATTATGGTCTACAGTGGTGAAAGGGTTAACAGGTCAAATTTTGGATCTTATTTCAGCTGTCGTCTAATAAACTTCACATAACAATTATTGCAACATTCCCCCAAACCTTTCAATTTAATAATTTTTACAGATATAAATATCCACTGTTTTCTATTGCTGAGCTATATCTACCGTTTCAGTATGCTAATTATTACTGCGTACAATAAATTATTAAAATTATATAATTTTTTGATATGCAAACTTAAAATCTACCAATTGTTTTTCTCCAAAGGCTAAATAGTTAAATAAACAACAATAAAGTGGAAGTTTGTTGGTAAATATATCAGACTTGGGAAGAATTTTGCACATACATCCAAGCATTAATATATCAGAAAATATGTGTCTCCCAACAAAAACACTGAATCATACAAAACAACATACACAACACAATGCATTCTTAATGCTTCTTATCAAAACAACCGCTGTATTAAAAAGTAAAACAGTACAAAATGATTTGAGATGAAAAGACTTCTAACATCTACAGCTATACCTACAAACATTTGATGAACTACAGATGGAATGGCACTCTAACTCTCTAAAAAAACACACACTACACGTTCCACCACTTAATGGTTGATATGCTCTTCTTATCTCAAGACAAAACAAGAACCAGTTCTTATGTAGACCATACACAACCAATTCTTGGACAAGAGGATTTCATTTAATCAACCCAGATTTTTTCTGGTAAAGCTTCCTTTCTGTATTTATATGACAGTCAGTGTTCTCATTGAAAGCCGGTTGCTCGGAAAAGAAGCCTGCTATTCCCCAACCATTGAACCAGCTTTTTTTTTCTTCTCCAGAATAGACAAAGATCAACATTAAATCATGTGAACATCTAACCGGCTATTTTTCAAGTTAACTTTCCACTTCAAAGCTTAATCAGAACACTGACAGTCTGATAAAATTAAAATCCTCACACAATTTTTTATTTTTTTTTGAAATTTCATTTCAAGGTTGTATTTTGATCACATGGGTCCTGCTCCCAGGTGCTTGAATGGATTAACCCCTCCCCATCCCTTTAAATAGTCCTCAAACCACAAGCACCAAAGGATATACTTCAATTTCCCACAGTCTTTGTACCGTATTTATCCGGCAATAAGCCCATGCTTGGTAATAAGCCCACCAATATATATTACAGTTAGGAAGAAATGCCAACAAAAGCTATTTCATTGTCCTGTAATAAGCCCACCCCTACTTTCAGTCGGAGATTATGTGGTGGCCCCCTGGGCTTATTGCAGGATAAATACGGTAGTGTAATAGTCGGTATGGGGTAGGGATTGGAGGTCGATGATATTTGCACCTGTGGCCCTGTTCAAATTTGTGTCAACATGCATCCTCCCACTTAACCTTGCTAGTTGTCTGTAACAGCCTTTTGGGAACAACAATGATGAAGATAAGTTCTAAGGTACTAGAATAAAAAAAAATGTGGCCTAAGCATGATCATTCCTACAAGAAGGACTAAAACTGTTCCGTCATATAAACATCCATACAGCATATTCCTATTAGAATCATCTGTGACATTAACTGGGCAAATGAAAACTTTTACGGTCTGCCATGTCAAGTTACTGTAAAAGTGGAAATTCTCATGTGCGGAAATATTCATGTTGTGACTCTTTAACTCATTCACCCCTGAAATTTCATAATGAACTGTTCCAACCATTGAATTGGAAGAGTTCAAATGTGTCTTCAGGGGTGAATGATTTAAAGAGATTGCGGTCCAGAAATTTAGAGTTGGTAATGGTTCTGAAACCTTTTTATTGTACATTTTTTATATTGTTTTGCAGGCGAACAACCCAGTCCAGTTCCGTTACATAAAATTATAATAGAATTTTATAATAAATAAATATTCGGATGTGGATATTTTCGTGCTAATTCACTCAACGTGAAAATTGTAAATAATTCTGCATCTCAAAAATTTCAGCTTTTACAGTATTACCTAGTTCTGGACAGATACAGCGCATGAAGAAGAACAACACAAGAATACAGCCACCAACTACCTTATTTATACTAACTATATTAAGCATGTCTTAAAAACTTTGCTGAAAAGTATTCTGACATTATTTTCAGGATAATGTGCTAAAAATCTTAGCCTATTTTTTTTTTTAACATTGAAACATCAAAAGTCACACAGCTGGTCACAACAGAATTCATTCTGTTTAAAAACATATGGAAATGTACATTTTTATAATATTTTAAAATTCAGGCAGTTGATTGATCCCATCAGGGATCAGTAAGGTGTTGTGTGTATACATCTTGTGGCAAAGGGAAGAGCAAGGCCAAGTTGTCATATATAAAGGTAATGTTATTATAATACACAAATGACTGGGGAATGATTGGATAGTATAGATAGTCTGTTGAACAGCATCCACCGAAAAAACATGGACATGTACGACTTTCACACCAAGTTCTACCTACCGATGTTTGACCTTGATCTATTTTTAGTTCATCCTTAACTCATTTACCCCTGGAGACACATTTGAACTCTTCCAATTCAAAGGTTGGAATAGTCCATTATGAAATGTCAGGGGTGAATGAGTTAATACTCCAGCTTATGCTCACTTATGCTGTCTGCATCTCTGGAATATGTCATGATAAAATCGAAGGCTCTGTATGTGCCACCTTGAGGATGAGACAAGGAGACTAGTTTGATCTTTGATGTACATCAAAAGAATCTCACGGTAGCATAATGGTAACATTGACTAGCTTTGAAGTTGAGTGTCACTCCTCTGTAAATGTCAAAGGACAGATATCAGCCTAGCGATTGGTCAGGTTTTTTTCCAGAGACCTATCAAATAACTAGCCTCATGCCTTTAATTTTGCTATGACGTATTCCAGGGGTGCAGAGAACGTAAGTGAGTGTAACCCCAGGAGTATCCAGGATATTTTTGATTGAGCAAATAGAGCACAAGGTAGATGCAAGAAATAGCAGATGTACACATAAGTACTTGTACTTATCAACATAAACTCTGTAATCTGGAAATATTCCATATGAAATGGCATTTGATGACATATCTGAGTACATACATGCTTTAGATATTTTCTTACTTTGATTTCTATAGATATTTCAGCAAGGTATAGAAACCACCAATAACGGCTGTATACCAGGAAATATTGGCCGTGATTTAACTTTCGCCTTTATAGTCCTTCTATAATGAGGGCAAATTTGTCATGCTAGAAAACATTAGTACAAAATGATATAGTAAGTACCGTTATATACACAGGGTGATATTAATATTTGGCTAATACAGATTTTAACATTGAAGGGCAAATTTTTGACAAGGCAAAAGTTTTCCGGTATACAGAATTTAACTCATTCATCCCTGAAATTTCATAATGAACCATTCCAACCATTGAATTGGAAGAGTTCAAATGTGTCTTCAGGGGTGAACGAGTTAAATATCCATTTTTTCTTCTTCTTCAACCTCTCAAAAATTGGTAATACATTTGAACATAGAAAATTCTGTTCTACCCATTTCATCGTTGCCCACAGAGCTGCAACGAGACTAGACAAGCGATCAAGACGCACAGGAATCTACAGATCGTCACAAACACAGCCGTGGCCTACAACACACTTTGAACAGGATTCCTACCAATACAAAAAGCTGGTCAACAACAATCGATATACTGGATATTATATATATATAGCCAATTCAGTACTATGAAAAGTTGTCTTGAATTCGCCTTTTCAAATCAAAGCTGATAATTCTTTTTATACAAAACAATATAACGAAAATGCTGGCAAATTCTGAGATAAATATAGGAATGACATCAACTTAGGGATAATTTCGGATAATATGTTGTACATGCATACTTCATGAAAAAATGGTGTCGTAAACATGATCTTGGTGAAGCGATTAGGGTGAGATGTCATGATAAAAACAGCAACAATATTGAATAAAAACCTGACATCAACCTTTACAAATTTATCTAGACACATCATCCATTAAAATTTTTGATGTCATGTCTTAGTTATGACATATTATTTTTTTTTTATTAAAACAACATTATTATGGTCAGTGTACAACACTGCATATGTAGGTCAACAAGAAAAACGTCTACTTGACGTTATGACAATCAATGTCATTGTGAAATAAATAGAATTCTCAGATCTTGTAACGAATATTTAGTTTGTACTTCATAAAAATCACTTTAGTTTTTGTTAACAGTCTTTATTTTTTTCAACATTAAGAAAAATATAAACACGAATATAATCGGGAAATGTTCCTCGGACTCGACTAACACAGAAGCGCTAAAACTGACAAATCTACGACCAAAAAGGAACCGTTTCAAAACTGTGCATGTAATGAATTATTTCAACAGGCCACAGTCGCTGCCATGTCAAGCTATCGCAATGAATTTGTTGTCAATATGACAATTCGGTACGAGGTGAATAGGTTACGTACAGTCGCACACACATGACCTCTTAAAGCTCCTTATCATAAAATTTCGTAACACATTTCAATATCTTTTAATTTCTAAAAAAGAAACTTGATGTTACGCATGTATTAACATTTTTGTTATATACAGCACTGCAAACTCTTGTTCCGTTTTAAGATTTATAATTATACATTTCATCAATGAAGAAGAAATGAATCCAGATTCTTCAATACATAATGCAAGTTTTAAGTACTGAAAGATACTGTTAGGAATTCGAAAGCATTATGGAAAGGAACAAACATGTTTTACAAATAGTGAACAGAACAGTGAAAAGTTCTCCAGCTACATGAGGACCCAAGAGATAACATGTCTGTAACTAACGGATACCATTGTCTGTAATAACCTACAGTGGATAATTTTTTTACACTTACAATTCAACATTATTTTTTTTCAAAACCATGTACTCCGTACTCAGGAAATGAGAGTATGTAATTAATGAAGTGCTCAGTCATTCATATGACAAAAAAAAAATCGAAAATCTACACAACACAATGTGTTCAGTATGTGAAGCATGAATTCACATATTGAATAAAACGCTCTAAAAAATATCTAATGTACGATCACTAGATGGCTTTAAAGATACATTTATCAAATGCAAGTGTTCAGCACCTTCTACTTTCCATGGAGGTGTATTATACAGCTACAGCAAAAACACTTTGATTAGAAACACTCTGTAACATTGCAAATTCATGCGTATGAAAAGTCATAGTTATCTCCCCTGACAGGACACTGTCATGTGAACTTCAACACAAATGATGAACTGCACCTTCAACAAAGTAGTTTCTTTAAGTCCCCAGGGGATCCTCATGATGTGTTTACCGTGGAATGGCTTCCCTAAATCTTCCAGTGCAATGACAATGCAAACAGATTTTTTTTTCTTTTTCATTTTACATAATTTACAAATGTACCATGAATTGTGAGTTTTGAATGCGTAATGTCACACTATCTTATGATCAGTTGACAGTTTAATTTCTTTCATCTGATTAAAGTCTTGAGAACATGTGAAAACGTATGTGACTTCAATCTTGAATATCGTAAAATGAATCTGTTATGAACGCATCCTGCTTCTGTAAGGCCGATTTTCTAGAAGAGAGACAACCCCCAAATACAAAATGATAAATTGAAGAAAGATAACAACCGATGGCCTGCAATGTTGTGAAAGTATTGTTTCTGTGTGGGTGATTCTGTCCTGAGTTAGTTGTTATAGAGATTGGCGTATGGTCCACCTTGACCCCTTGTGGGGTACGGAGATTTCTCTTGGCAACGTGCCATCTCGTACACGACATCATCCGTCATAGACATTGGGGGTTCCCTTCGCAGGTAATGGATGAGTAGAGACAGGAAGACAATGGTCAATAACTGTAAAACAAATAAAACAACACTGATAAACATGCATATGAAAAACAAACAAAAACAAGAGGCCCATGGGCCTTAACGGTCACCTGAATCTACAGTATTTTTGTTTGTTTGTTGAAATATGTACCAATTTGAGTAAAAAATAGTATAATGTTAACTTAACTTTGTCAGGACCATGAGCTGATCATTCCTAGACCAATTTTAAGTGAGATCGGCCTATTAGAATTTAGTAGCAAAATAGCGGCCATGGCAGCCAAATTGTATTTCTGAAAAATAACAACACTTTGTCAGGACCATGAGCTGATCATTCCTACAAAGTTTCAGTTCAATCGGCCTAGCAGAACTTGACTTTAAGTTTGAAATAGTTTTTCAAAATGGCGG